AAGATGTTACTGACCTCAACTTCTCCAACCATAAGCCTGTATGAATAATAATTCATTGAATTAACTATTTTGTTAGTTTCAGAACCTAAAAACATTTTTTTGTTATAAAATTATATAAATTACTTAAAGCTATGATAAATATTAAAAACTTAAATTTTTTATTTACCTGTAACTGGATTTATCATCTTCATTAAAATTAATACCCATCTTCACCGTTCCAAAATAAGATAAAATATATTTATATATGTTCGATGTGTTTCGGACACATGCTGCAGTTGATTGTTACACTGGTTATCTACATTTTCACCCACGACAATAGCGACTTCATCGATGCTTTGGGCATTAAAATGTCTTATGTGTTTGATAAAAAATTTGTGATTATCAGATGGCATGTGATCTAATGTGGTCTCGAATAATGTGTTGATGGAAGAATAATTGGAACTGTTCCACAACTGGTCTTTTTACAGAATAGTTCTGTGCACAACACTGATCAACTTGTCTTCCTGAATCACCCATGAAATTAATTTGGAAAAATTTATAGTCACTGACCAGCACTGGTAATAACTAATAAGTTCAATGATATATTTGTCCTTGAATCTGAAAAGGTAAACATTCCTGTATAACATATACATAATATTGTAAAGTGAATTGTTCAAACCACCAAGTGACACTCAAAATACTTTGTGAGCACTACCATTTCCCCCATGAACTTTTTTAACACAATTCCTTCTGGCTACTAAAAGTAATTCACAGAGCTATAAATGTACTTTTAGCCATTTCAAATGATACATCATTACAATTGAAAACAATCAACAATAGTGGTAAATGTTTTTCAATACACTTACCTTAAAAGTTGGCACAAAATTTATTTTACTGTAGTCCATTTCTTTGTTATAATCAAATGCAGCTATATATTGTTGGTTTCGGTTCCATCGATTCCGTTCAACTTCAGTCCGCGTTTCACGTTGCTCATCAGCTAGACTTGCTCTTCTATTTCTTTGACTTGAGGCATTACGGGTTCTGCGAATTAAGTTTGTAGGTCTAATTGCCGGCATGTTTTGAAACAAAAATTCAACTGAAAATAAAAAAAAAACTATTATTCTATTCATATTCTTTTGTAATAGTATCAAAATGGTCTAAAAAAAATTCCAACACTTTAATAATTTGACTTACCTTGTTGACTAAACACAAAAATACACGGTACAAATTATTCTGTAAAAACCAATGTGTAAATTACACTAAGAAATGGTAAATGAATTATGTAGATGTTTTTTTAATATAACTTCGGCCAAAAATAGTAAAACTGAATATGTACTCGTACAAAACTACACAAAAAAAAAACAAATTTACTGTTTGCAAACAATTTGAAAGAATAACTGAACTTTTAAGACAGAGATAATAATCTATCATAGACTAATATATTATATAGTCACACAAACGTCAAGCTCAGCTTATGAATCTCGCATTTAAAAGTAAGTAATTTTAATTATGTAAATCATAATTAAAAAGAAAAAAAAACAGTTCTATTTTTATTGAAGTGCTTTGTGATAAACGATATTTTTTATTTGATTCCAACGACGTATTCTATCTATCTATATAATATCTCCAACGCATACGCGCACACTGTTTTGATAGATATGATTGAATTTGAACTTTGTACAGCGGTAAGAAAGTGTAAATTTACTTTTTGACGTCAGGAACACACCTGCATTTCTTAGAAAACAGTGAGTGCTTGTAATTGAATATGAACTTTATACACATGCAATAAAGCTCAAATTGATTCTACGTTTTAGTTAGAAAACGTTTGTATGTGAAAAAGGAAAGGGTTGTTTTTAGGGTTTTCCTGGCAATTATTCGATTTTTATCTCGCCGTAAGAACCATCCTTGGACTTCAAAAAAATAATTGGCCAAATTGGTCCAGGCGTTGTTGAGTTATGCGCTTACCAACACATTTTGCGATTCATTTTTATATTATAGATAATAGGGCTAGTATCTGAAAATAGAAATGTTTTATTGAGACAGCCAATAATTAAAATCTTTTCCTTTCCACAACAAGTACATGATCACATTTATACATCCAAAATTATTTTTTGTTTATTATCCGTGTCTGGAAGAATTATTATACTGAAATGTCAATTTCCATTAAACATCATATCGATATCAGAAATATTACGACCCCCATAATGAGTCTACAAGTTTTGACAGGTTAATGGGCCACTCCTTTAAAAAATGTATGATAGAAAATCAATGTTTGTTTCCCATAAATTTTCTCTTAAAATAAACCTTGTATAAAAAGATAAAAGATCCGAATATACACACACATATATGTGTATATATTTATAACTATTCAGTTATAAAATCAATGTTCAATAAGATAATTTTAGTTAAAGTTTTTAAGTGCAAAATAACATCAAGCTTCAATATCATAGTGTTATACTATTTTATGAAATAAGCTGGTGTTTGGGATTATGGATTAATGCTTAGTATTACTTACCTGAACAGAATGATTTCTAATTACGTGTTGAACCTCTCAACAGTTTTTTATTCAGTTTACAAGTATATTATAATCTAACCGAAGGCCGACAAACTCACAAGCCCCTTCCATATTAATAGGTCCAATGATTGGTTAGCGCTTCAAAATCAAAGATTGCATGTTATTGGACTTTTAATTAAAAGAACTTCTTTGCATGTCGTGAAAAACGAATTTATTTTCGTCTGCTACCTCTTGGAAAAGTTTTAGGAGAAATCAATTTTTAAACATCTGTCCTTTTCCAATTGAAAACATGGAATTGTAAAATAGCCTTTGGGATTTAATAAAATAGCACTTGTAGCTCCACTACATTTTTTTTACTCATGTATGTAGATTTCTATATAAATTTAAATGTAGAACTGTAAATTAAGTTGAAGGCTAAATTAGCAAATGAAGGTATTTTTAGTACTTGTATGAATATTTCTATTTTTACTTAGACAGTTTTTTGGTGTCGTCAATTTTAATAGATAGTTAATATGTTTTGTATTTTAAAATTTTCGTAAGAATTGGAAATGCTTTAGAATGTAGGCAATATTGTTTTTAGACAGTCAGATATATTCACGGTATTACCGAGTGTCGCGACAGTCCCTGAAATAGAAGGTAATATCAAACTAAAACAAGAACCTGAAAGACATTCCTTGACGACAATATGAACAGACCCTGTTTAAATTCCTCAATAAACCTATAGTTTTAACTTTCTTGACCTATGAGTCTATTTGAAATATTCATACTAGTCTATCTGTATTTATTAGTATAAATATTACATTTGATTGTAATAATAAGAAAATAACAAAAAAATACCAATTGAAATGAGAAAGTAAATTTTAATGATACTTCGGTAGTGATAAATCATACCTTAAATTAAGAAAAACGATTTAGGTCCACGTGTAAACTATTGCTAACACTTTATATACTAAATTGTTTCTCTTTAGAGAAAACAGTCATCCGTGTTGATATCGAAATATATAGCGTTATTTAAACAGCCTCGAGAAGCGAGCTTCAACACGTAGCTCGGTGCACTTCGAAGTTCCAAAGAGCTTTGATAGCTTTCAATATATTGAAAACTAAATTCTCTTTTGAAAGGATAAAATACATAAACAAGGGCTAGTTAATCTCATTCCTTTTTGCGAAAAAACCTTTTTAAATAAGAATTTCATAATAATATCGTATAGAATTTTAAAAACATTTGAAAGCAAATCACATTAAGATTTTTATTAATTTTATTGAATAAATGTTTTATTTATTTTGAATTAATTCTAGCTACTTCGCATTTTATCTATAGGAACAAATTGGTTCGATTTTGTATACATATAACACTGAGATCTCGCTTTCAATCAATTTCCATTAATGGATAGCACAAATTAAGAAATTTGAGAACAAAAAAGTTTTTGCCTAAAGTTCGTTCTACTTAAACAAAATTCCTAAAAGAAAATAAGCTAAGTTTTTATTATTCTTTTCCAATAAATAGGTAGACTATTTAATGTGAGAGGAAATAGCGAACATTTAATTTACTCTTTATATTACTTTATATTACTTCTTAAAAGACGCTTATGATCAAAAATAACACAAAAAGTACCACCTTTTTATCTTCCTTAAGTAGCTCGAAATAACCTAGACTGGAACCATTGTTTATATAAAACATCAGAATTGAAATACTCACGTAAACAATAGCCCTCGATAAACAATAAATAGTCCATAAATTGAAAATCTAATATGATAAAATTAATGTTTCATATGAAAATTAAAAAATAATGAAAATATTGATGAATATAACTATTTAAGTTTTATCGTTACTAAAAACACAAAACTCGACAGAAAAACATAAATATTGCATATTTAAGAGACGATAAATTGAGTCCATAAAATAAATAAATAAAAGGCACGAATAAAATTTTGTATTTTTTTTTTATGTATACAACGATAAAACGGTATCAATTGTACAGTTTTAACTTAACAGTATTCACAGGGCCGCTCAGTCACCCATCCAATGTGAGATAATCAAATAAATACTTAACTTGCACAATCGATCATTTACTTAAGCTGGTTTCTACTGAACGTGCGTGTATTATTTGGGTCAAAATTCGAAATTTTTAACTAAGACTTGAAGTAACCAGTAATACCACAACATTATTATACATCCACTAGCAATTACCTGATTCTATTGAAATAGGGTTATAGCTTTACTATCTATTTACTTACCGTCAACTCTAAAGCTTCGGCATTTAAAAATTAATTATCAGTCAGTTAATAAAAAAAAAATAGAGAAATAATAGACTTAATAAATTTTACAAAAATATATCAACAATATAAGAATTATTTATGGAAAATAAAAAATATATAAAAATTTGCCCCTGAAAAACTAACCTTTTTTCTAAGATCGGCAGGAAAGAAATAACAAGTCGTCCGAAGAAAAACAGATTTCCAGACTAAACTTTAATCACACAATAACATTTACATACCAAAATAGATTTCATTCATCAAATATACATGTTTTTAGTAAGATAGATATGATGCGATAAGGATCAGCGTTGGCAGCTGGCCGTCGGTCCTCCAAATAACCGTGCTTGTCTTCAGAGACTTGACGAGGAATACGAACTGAACAACAACGGTTTGCCACGCCTGAAATACACACATTTATGGAGATTTTTGATGTAAGAGACATCTTAAATAATTCCTTATATGCACTGTTTCTAGGTACTTTACATTTCTTTTATAACAATAATAATACGTAGAACGAAACCATTGTATCAATTTTTAATGGAAGTGGAAGAACGTGGAATTCAACAAAGGCAAAGTTTATATAGAATGGAAGTTCTCAAAGGTATTTTTATAATGTTTGGATACCATCAAATTGTTACACAAATATACAAGACGTCTATGATGAATCCCCAATGTATTTATTACCACTAAATGTCAAACAAAGACTTCTATTCTACTTTTTAACTTGAAATAACCTATTAATTATGTTTGAGAGTCGATAATAATACAATACTTAAGATACTTGACTCTACAGTAATATTAATTTGACCTAATCAGATTAAATACATCTTTTGATTTACACGCCAGATCATTTTAAGGAACTTATTTTTCATTGTAACTTAAAATTAAAATTTCCATAACGTTCACATTTAATAGCAGATATTAACTAAAATAAATGTTGGGAGTAATGTTAATGTTGTAAATATTGTGTACTAAACAATTCTTTGATTCCTGATATTGAATCAAATGTCATGTGCATATAAGCTGCGGTAATCAAGCATATATCTAAATTCCGCTGCCTTCATATGAACTAAATTATTCAGTAATATTACATAAATTAGCTTCAAAATTAAACTGAACGAATGAATATGATGATATAAAAACTAATGAATACGCAATCGTAGTCAAAGAATGATATACAATTTTTAAGCTTTAGATAAAATTAAAATATCTACAGAGTTGGCTTCATATCTTCGTATTTCAAAGCAAATTTATGTTGACAGTTTAATCCATCAGAAGTTAAATTTACCCGCAGTGAAATCCCGTATGTTGGGCATTCCGTTTTTTCCAGTAAGACGTCGTGCATTGTCAGCTCCATTGTGAGCGTCATACTCATTGATATGCACTCCGTGACGACGCGACAGCTTATCTATAGCTCTCTCTATAACCCTGCAACATGTAATATTAAATACAATGTATGAAATATTAAATATAATGTATTCATAACATTGTAAGGAATAATTAAAATTATTAAATCTATATCAAAGCTTATAGTATAACTATAGAAATATACAATTTTGCAAACAATCAAACTAATAATAATTAGTAGAAAAGTAAGAAAGGGGATAAAAGAAATACATTAGATACTTCCATAAAATTAAATACGACAATGAAAAATATTTAGTTATAAAAATGAAAGCTGTATGTAAAACTTTAAGTAGTCTTCTACTAAGAATATATTATATGTCAGAAACATATGTATATACATTCACTTCGCTCGTTTTATGCATTACATATTTCATAAGCGTTTCTTTGAAATTTACGTAACTTTTATTTCTCTTTCTTTTTTATTTTCTGCGATAGCTTCCATTTTCATATAAATTTAATAATATTTTCAGAATCAAACTAGTGATTATAATTAATTATTTGTAATTTAAAATACAATAATTGAATTAAAATTTTTCTTACAATATTCCGTCTTCCTCCCTCATATCCTTAGAAGAAAAGTAAGCAAACGTTCCGTTACCAGGCCAATCGGGTACTGGTTGTGGTTCAAATGTAGCAACAGTTCCGTATTCTTCAACTAACCTACTGAGTATGTAGCGAGCCATCCACAAATCATCGGCTGCTGTAATGCCAGGAGATGGTCCAACCTATCAATAGTAATCAGGTAAATATTCTGTTTCAAAGCACATCCATCGAAGTGGGTAAACATTTGTTTGAATGAAATTTTCCGATCGTGAAAGTAAGCAAAGGAACTGAAACGTCGAGATTTTGTAGTTTATAATAAAAACGTTCATACAAAAACCTTACTTAGTTACATTAAAATGATTATTATTTGTGAAAATCTTACACATTATTATTTTAAGTTTCATTTAGAGTTGTAATATGTGGAAATAATTTTTGTATATTTTAAGATGGGTCTTATTTCAACATTCGGTTAGAATATTATTAGATATAGTTTTAATATTAACAAATAGATCAATTTAAGTATCTTATAAATAAAACCAATGTGGCTATTACTTAATCGAAACTCAAGTTTGTCGGATAACTGTGTGTTTTCTATTATTTTATCTCAATATTTTCCCGATGTTTCAATTATATTTCAGCAACCATTATCACGGGTAGACCGCGTGAATGCGACTGTCTATAAAATGATTCATTTAAATAGAAACACGCGAAAATAATTAATATAATTACTATATATTATTTTAATAGATTTAATAACTGTATTTCACTAGTATATTATACGTATATGTTAATGAAATAGTTAAATGAAATATTTGATACTCAAGCATGAAACAAAAATACTTTTTTTTTATTTATTAGAACTTTCAAGTGCTTATTTAGATAATGTTTAATGACAAACTAAAATACCATAGCCAGCCAGATAAGTTCTCTAGGGTAATATTAAAGTCCAGTTACACGTTTTCGTAAATAATAAATGTTATTTCAACTGTAATTCCTAATTTTGCTTATTTTTTCTCTAAATTTTATTATTTCATGAATTGAGACCGGATTTCATTTAGCAGCCTTTTTCAGGAATCCTAGACATTTTTCATTGCTAAATTTATCTCACGACTATGACTATGCTTTAAAAAATATTAAAGAATAACTTATTCCCATTATCTATAATGAATGATTTAATTTCAATAATTGTGTTATTTTTTGTATAATTAAGTAACTAACAAATAAATACAAGATCTTGCATTAATGACAGCAGTAGCCTATATAACTTTTTCCTTTACAAAAGTATATATAAGATGTAATTAAATATAAATTCCTAGTAATAAATAAAAGGTATATGAACATGTTTGTATTTAGCACGAATCTTTTTATCTAAAGGTCAATTTTTGAAAAATTCAATAAATTCGGATCTGAGGCCCTAACTGTAGTGGAATAGCAAAAGGATATCTAAATTGGTAAGTCAGAAATGTTCGGTCACGTCCGAATACGTTTTACGTTCTCTCAGATGAATTCGATATCTCACTTAAATTACATTTTTATAATCATATTTAGTGATAGAAAACTCAAGTTGAATGGAAACAGACATAAATATTGATGTATGTATTTATTAAAACACAGCTATAAAGAATAATAAATTATCTGCAAGTCTAAATATACATATACATGGATAACTAAAGTCACAAACTTTAATCTATGTTACACCATACATATTGTTCACCTGAAAATTCCACTGGGAAGGCGTGGTCCCTGGGTTAATACCGTTGATATGCACTCCGGCATAAAGACAACATCTGAGAACATAAAAATTTTATTACACACTTTCTTGACAGTAGTAAAATTCATCGATTTCTATGAAAACACAAACATAGCAATGTTTTGATATAGTAACAAGTTTGTCTTGTGTATAAAATAGTTTTTTCGATCATTGTTTACTTTTAACTTAGCATTTATAATTAATTCTGACCAGTTTCTTTAATTTTTCAATATAAATATAACAAAGTTTTACTTGGTTAATAAAAGAAATGTAGACTTAAAAGCGACCCTGTTTTATGGTCTCTCAATATAATTAAAATCACTATCAAACAAATTCATAACTCGCAAAATAAATTTCAATTCACTCTAGTAACTTTAATAAAACGAATAAGATGCTTTCCATAGATAGAAGAATGAAAGGAAGAAAGAGTATATGGCACTCTGAAGTTATAAGGAAACTCAGTCATGTTTCTATCCAAAAAACCATTTCAGTAAAACTGTGTCGGTACGAAGGTAAATTCAACCAAAACACGTCTTCGATAACTCTAGTCTACTACCTCCAGTTCCATAACACATAGTAATACAACTTACCTAAAGATACCAAAAAGAGACAGAGATATTTATGTCACATAATACCTATTTAATAATTGATATAATAATTGCAAAAAATGCCTCCATCCAATTAACTACATTTTATGATAATCCAAATAGGGAACCTGAACCGCTTTAAAGAAATGGGCTATAAAGCCAGTGTTTGAAGTTTATTATGCAATAAAAACACAACAGCTTTATACAAAATTTAATTATCTATATGTTATTAATCTTCATGCTGTAAAATAAAACACAGACTTTTTTAATAATTGGCAAAGTTACTAAAGTACATTTACCATAACGAATTAATACTATTATTATCTTTTTATTTCAAATACAATTTAATGTTCTTACTTAAATTTGTTATCGGTAATTCAAATGAATTTAACTTACATAATTTAATGTGGTAGTGTATTATAAGAATACTCTTCAATAAATTTTACACATTCTTAAAAAAATATAATTGGTCTACGGTTACATATTTGAAACTTTTTTGTGTTTAATTTACATATATGTATAATAAAGCATCCGATTAAAACAGTGATGTTGCTATGTAAACAGAAATAATTTCTATGAAATTGCACATCTCCATTAAATTAAAATGCTGAATAAATTATCTCTAAAACGACGTTTTAAATGTAACTTTTAATAATAAATAATTTTAAACTAAAATGAAATTAACAAGTACAAAAAAGATACATATTGAAACAACGTGGGCCGTTTAGTCAATTTTACATAATATACTTATTTATTATAAAGTTACCACGTATATCAGAAGTAAAATACATGTATAGTGTCTAGAAGTGCCGTAACTTGACTCATTTTTTATATTTATTGTATAAGTTTGAAATAACTTTTTTCAAATAGCCCATTTTCTAGAGGGCTTAAAGCCGGATAATGTTCTTGAACTCACAGTGACATTGTATTATTTGCAAGCCTATACTTTTTTCTAATCTAAAACTAAAATTTCCTTTAAAAATTCGTAAGACAGAACATTGCCTGAGATTTAAATTTATTTTGTTAATCTCATTTAAAAAGATTTATCTGCGCCAGAATGAAAAAAGCCTTCATTGTAATAAATAAGAAACAAAGATATTATCGTGCTAAATTTACAACAAGAAACAATTAAGGCAATTAAACATGCCAGATGTGAGGTAACTTCTATAATTTAAATAAGATTTTATTTGTACCTGTAAAATGCTTCCATGAGATCTCGAGCAACAATCTTGTTAGCACCTATAGCGCAGTAGTAAGGACCAGGAGGCGCAGGAAACCCTCCTGGAGGCCAACCCAAAGGTCTACCGTCAGGAGTAGTCAGGAAAAACTCTTGATTGAAACCAAGCCAAGGCTCTTCGACTTCACCCTTCTCGCACATCAGTGTACAGTCTTTGAGGTAATTTGAAGCTAAAGAAATAAAGAACACATGTTAATTTATTCTGTTTCTACAAATTAAATATAAAATATACAAGTTGGTATCACAAAACTATTAATATCATTCTATTTTAGTTTAATTAATATGTGCAAAAATAAATGAAGTTTATTTCAATTCAAGCATACTTAAAATAAAAATAGGTATTTTACTAAAACGAAGGTGACGCATCGATTCATAAGTTTCATGTAGCGAAAGGTCAAACACTACAAAAGTTTTCAACTTAATATAGAAACATTTTCAATGTTTACATATAAACGTGACATATTTTTTTTATATTTTTATATATTAATAAACTGGTATTAAGTACAATTTAGGCGTCATATTTTTTTTTATTCATAAGGTCTCATCCTTTGAGCTAAAATGGGTGTTATGTTTATCTTAATAATCATTTGACACGCTTCACTATGTTAACAAGGAACGATCTTTAAATAAGTATTTTATTTGATAATAATTTTGTAATATATATTATAGGAATGTGAGAAGGAAGGATAAACTAAAAACGATATATAAGCAGTTGTCAGAAAACAACACGCATTGGTGTGATAGATGTCGTTAGTAAATTTTTGAAGTGTGTTTAAATCTCTTGAATTTGTTATATTCAGATTTCATGTCACGATAAATTTGAATCAAGATAGTTGAAAGAATTATAGAGTTTAAAATTGTTTTCAGATTTGTCTAAATTTAATAAATTAATAGTGAAATAAAAAAGTAAATTCTAATCTTGTTTCTAAGAATATTTTAACTTCTTTGTCTCGTATTATTATTATTTTTTCTTGCTCAATGGAATAGGATCTACATATATTCGATCACAATATAGTAGATATTGTTTATAGCGTACATACATACATACATAAAAACGTGTTTATCAAAAATTGCTATTGCGATTGGAATAGAAATGTCAAGGGTTTTAAAACATATTAAATAGTATTTCTCCGAAGGCAAAAAAGATAAAGCCTTTTTTGCATTTGCATTTAATTGGTTTTTTCAATGCTGTTAATATTTATTGTTTATTTCGGTTCCCCTTTACTTGACATTCATGACATATCAAGAGTTAAGTCATTAATTGTCCTACTTAACATGTAGGTCACATTATATTGATTTCGTTTACCTATAGACACTAAATGACACTATAGATATCTACATAATATAAATTGAGTGGCCCTTTAACTAAGAAAGAATAAATTGTCCTATAAATTCATGGAAATAGGGATTATTTTAAGTTAGGATTAGAATCGGTATAACTAACGAGTCGGCTGGTAATTGTGTTGATAGGTGTCAGCTAGAACCATAATGTGGCTTCCTCGTCGGAAAGGATCTTGATAAATCACTTGGGGGAAGATAAACGTGTCAGAATTATCTGTGGCAGCCTGAGCTGTGTTACTGCCATCGAAATACCATACTGGCAGATCTGTAAAAAAATATTTTTAAGACACTAATATTATAGGACAACGTGTTATTAGAAAATATATGAAAAGAATCTATTAACAGATAAGAATGTGGGTTGTATAAAAAGAAAATTAATTTGAGATTATAATATTTAATATTAAACATTTTACATAGTGATAACGAAGATTATCATAAGTACACATATAGAAACATATAATAATATTACAGACATTTACATTTTACTAGATACATACTTCAATTGATTTGCATTTATTATTGCATTTGGATTTACTATGATTACGGAAAGAGATGAAACCCCCGTTGAAATAAAAACTAATAAGTTCTCTTAGTATAGCCGAAAGGCAGCTGTATTTAAGTTATATATATATATATATATATTTTAATGATACATCATTAAGAACCGAGACGATGTGAGAAGTAATCAAAGCTTAAAAACCCATACATTATTATTAAAGCTTGTTCGTGTAAAATCTTACAACTGGGCACTGGACTGTCAGTCATAAAACCGTTTTGACACAAGTCACCACTCTGCTCTAATGCGGGTAATTGACTTCCATGTCTTTGATATGCTAGGATCTCCAAAACTTCTACCTTTCTCAAATATAAAACGCTATTTTAGTAGATGTAACTTAACAATTATTGAAAGAATATAGGTATTTAATTCTTTCTCAAACGGCAGTCGTTAGTGAAACTGCTCATTATATTTTTAATAGTATATGGATGTTTTAATTAGAAAAAAATAAAATACATATGTACATTCAGTGTTCGATTTTTTTTAACAAGTATGAAAAAACATTAACAAATAATCATTTAGTTTAGCTAAATAAAGTAATGGAGATAAATGTTTCTCTTAGAATATTTGATAATAATATTATATGGCTGATATTAGAATTATAGCCACTAACGTACAAAGATTTCATATCCTACGCTTTTATCGTATAAATAGAAATTGGGAAACTATAGATAAATAGAATACAACTGACCAATAACCTCGTCTATATTATAATAATAATAGGGCTAGTATCTTAAAATAGAAATGTTTTATTGAGACAGACGATAATTAAAATCTTTTCCTTCCCACAACAAGTATAATATGATCACATGTATACAGTCAAAATATTTTTTTGTTTATTATCCACATCAGGAAGAAATATTAAACTGAAATGTCAATTTCCATTAAACATCATATCGATATCAGAAATATTACGATCCCATAATGAGTCTACAAGTTTTGACAGGTTAATGGGCCACTCCTTTAAAAATATATGATATAAAATCAATGTTTGTTTTTCCATAAATTTTATCTTAAAATAGACCTTTTATAAAATAATAATAGAACCGAATTTACATATATATATATAACTATAGAGTGGAGGAGGCCTTTGCCGACTGGCAAACTGATCTAGCGATGATAACCAAGGAACAGATATTAGTTTAAGTAGCTTAAGTTTAAGATATTGTGTTTATTTTTTTAAGATAGTTTATTGTTAACACTTATTTGTTAGATCTGAATAAAGGCTATTATTATATTATTATAACTATAGAGTCATAAAATATATTTTCAATAAGAGAATTTTAGTTAAAGTTTTAAGTGCAAAATAACATCCAGCTTCAATATCATATTGTTATATGTATTATTTTATGAAATAATCTGGTGTTTGGGATTATGGATTAATGCTTAGTATTACTAACCTGAACAGACTGATTTCTAATTACGTGTTGAACCTCTCAACAGTTTTTTATTCAGTTTATACTTGTATTTATAATCTAACCGAAGGCCGACAAACTCACAAGCCCCATCCATATTAATAGGTCCAATGATTGGGTAGCGCTTCAAAATCAAAGATTGCATGTTATTGGACTTTTAATTAAAAGAACTTCTTTGCATGTCGTGAAAATCGAATTTATTTTCGTCTGCTACCTCTTGGAAAAGTTTAAGGAGAAATCAATTTTTAAACATCTGTCCCTATCCAACTAAAAAAACATGGAATTCGAAAACGGCCTTTGGAATTTTATAAAATAGCACTATTAGCTCCAGTAAATTTGTTTAGTGGTGTGTGTCGATTTGTATGTTTATTTAAATATAGATCTGAAAAATAAGCTGTAGGCTAAATTGTGGGTATTTTTAGAATTCGACTGCATATTTTAAGTTTTACGTTTAAAGATTTGATTAAACATTTGGATACCGTGTACGGTCCTTTTGACGGATAGTTAGTATGTTATTGTAAATTAAAGTTATTTGGAAAGAATTTGAAATGTTTGGGAATATAGGCAATATTGAATTGATTGTCAGATACATTCACGGTATTAAACAATGTCGTGAGTTCCTAAAATAGAAAGTAATATACAAAACAAGGACCTGAAAGACATTCCTTAACGTCAATATGAACAGACTCTTTTTAAATTCCTCAATGAAATGAAAAAGTAAATTTTAATGATGCTTCGGTAGTGATAAATCATACCTAAAATTAAGAAAAACGATTTAGATACACGTGTAAACTATTGCTAACACTTTATATATTAAATTGTTTCTCTTTAGAGATAACAGTCATCTGTGTTAGTATCGTAATTTATAGCAAATTTGTTATTTAAACAGCCTCGAGAAGCGAGCTTCAACACGTAGCTTGGTGCACTTCGAAGTTCCAAAGAGCTTTGATAGCTTTCAATATATTGAAAACTATATTTTCTTTTGAAACGATAAAATATAAAAACAAAAGAATAGTTAATCTCATTCCTTATTGCGAAAAAACCTTTTTTAAATAATAATTTCATAATAATATCGTGTAGAATTTTAAAAACATCTAAAAGCAAACATTTCCCATTAATCTCTTACCACATTTAGAGTTTTATTAATTTTATTATATAAATGTTTTATATATTTTGAATTCATTCCAACTATTTCGCATTTTATCTATAGGAATATAACATGGTTAGATTTTGTATACGTATAACCGTGACATCTCGCTTTCAATCAATTTCCATTAATGGATAGCACAAATTAAGAAATTTGAGAACAAAAAAAGTTTTTGCCTAAAGTTCGAAATACTTAGACAAAATTCCTAAGAGAAAATAAGCTAAGTTTTTGTTATTCTTTTCGGATATATAGGTAGACTGTTTAATGTGAGACGAAATAGAGAACATTCGATTTACTTTTTTGGTTTCTTCATCCGTGCCCTTTATATTACTTTTTAAAAGACGCTTATAATCAAAAATTACACAAAAAAAAACATACCAGCTTTTTTATTTTTCTTGAGTAACTCGATGTAACCTAGAATGGAACTATTGTTTATGTAAAACATCAGGATTAAAATACTTACGTAAACAATGCCCCTCCAACAGATACACTTTGTTTTTACTATATAACAAAGGTTAAAGTAAATAAATAGCCCATAAATCGAAAATCTAATATGTTATTATTAATAATTTCATTTGAAAATTAAATAATGATGAAAATATGGTGAGTATAATTGTTTTTGATAAAGTTATTAAAAACACAAAACTGCACAGAAAAACAGGAATATTGCATGTTTGAGAGACGATAAATTGAATCTATAAAATAAATAAATAAAAGGCATGAATAAAATTTTGTTATTTTTTATGTATACAATGATAAAACGGTATCAATAGTAGAGTTTTAACGGTATTCACAGGGCAGCTCAGTCACCCATTCAATGTGAGATAATCAAATGAATACTTAACTGGCATAATCGATCGTTAACTTAAGATGGTATCAATGACACGTTCAGGCATGTATTATTTAGGTCAAAATTCGAAACTTTTTACTATGATTTGAAGTAACCGGTAATACCACAACATTATTATACATACATCCACTAGCAGAGACGTATTACCAGATATCTGCTTCTATTGAAATAGGGTTAAAGCTTTATTTTCTCTTTACTTACCGTCAACTCTAAAGTTTCGGCATTTAAAGATTAATTATCAGTCATTTAATAAAAAAAAATAGAGAAATAATAGACTTAATAAATTTTACAAAAATATATCAACAATATAAGAATTATTTATGGAAAATAAAAAATATAAAGAAAGATGTCCAAGCCAAACTAACCTTTTCCTCAGATCGGCAGGAAAGAAATAATAGGGCGTCCGGAGAAAAACATATTTCCAGGCTAAACTTTAATCACACAATAACATTTACATACCAAAATAGATTTCATTCATCAAATATACATGTTTTAAGTAAGATAGATATGATACGATAAGGATCAGCGTTGGCAGCTGGCCGTCGGTCCTCCAAATAACCGTGCTTGTCTTCAGAAACTTGACGAGGAATACGAACTGAACAACAACGGTTTGCAACACCTGAAATAAACACATTTATGGAGATTCTTGATGTAAGAGAGTTCTTAAATAATTTCTTATACGCACTGTTTCTAGGTACTTTACATTTCTGTTATAACAATAATAATACGTAAAATGAAACCATTGTATTAATTTTTAATGGAAGTGGAAAAACGTGGAATTCAACAAAGGCAAAGTTTATATAGAAATGAAGTTCTCAAAGGTATTTTTTATAGTGTTTAGATACCATCAAATATGTATTTATTACCACAAAGACTTATATTCTACTATTTAATTTGAAATAACCTATTAATTATGTTTGACAGTCGATAATAATACAATACTTTCGATACTCGACTCTTCAGTAATATTACTTTGACCTAATTTAACCTAATTTAATAGGAACGTCATGGAAATTTTAATTTTAAATTGTAATTTAAAATTAAAATTTCCATGACGTTCCTATTTATTTAATAGCAGATATTTACTAAAATAAATGTTGGGAATAATGTTAACGTTGTTAATATAGTGTAGTAAACAATTCTTTGATTCCTGATATTGAATCAAATGTCATGTGCATATAAGCTGCGGTAATGAAGCATATATCTAAATTCCGCTGCCTTCATATGAACTAAATTATTCAGTAATATTACATAAATTAGCTTCAAAATTAAACTGAACGAATGAATATGATGATATAATAACGAATGAATACGGAATCGTAGTCAAAGAATGATATACACTTTGTAAGCTTTAGATAAAATTAAATTATCTACAGAGTTGGCTTCATAACTTCATATTTCAAAGCAAAATTTATGCTGACAGTTTAATCCATCAGATGTTAAATTTACCCGCAGTGAAATCCCGTATATTGGGCATTCCGTTTTTTCCAGTAAGACGTCGTGCATTGTCAGCTCCATTGTGAGCGTCATACTCATTGATATGCACTCCGTGACGACGCGACAGCTTATCTATAGCTCTCTCTATAACCCTGCAACATGTAATATTAAATATAATGTATGAAATACTAAATATAATGTATTCATAACATTGTAAGGAATAATTTTAATCAAAACTCTTATAGTATGACTTTAAAACTATACAATTTTGCAAACAATCAAACTTATGATTAGTAGAAAAGTAAGAAAGGGGTTTAAAGAAACACATTAGATACTCGTACCTTCTTCCATAAAATTTAATACGACAAAGAAATTTATATATTTCGTTATAAAAATATATATTTAGTTATAAAAAATTAAAGCTGTATGTAAGACTTTAAGTAGTCTTCTACTGAGAAGATATTATATGTCAAAAACATATGTAAGTACATATGTACATTCACTTCGATCGTTTTATGCATTACATATTTCATAAACGTTTCTTTGAAATTTACCGTAACTTTTATTTCTTTTATATTTACTGCGAGTATAGCTTCCATTTTTACATAGATTTAATAATATTTTCAGAACCAAACGAGTGATTATAATTACTTGTAATTTAAAATATAAGAATTGAAATAAAATTTTACTTACAATATTCCGTCTTCCTCCCTCATATCCTTGGAAGAAAAGTAAGCAAACGTTCCGTTACCAGGCCAATCGGGTACTGGTTGTGGTTCAAAAGTAGCAACAGTCCCGTATTCTTCAGTTAACCTACAGAGTATGTAGCGAGCCATCCACAAATCATCGGCTGCTGTAATGCCAGGAGATCGTCCAACCTATCAATAGTAATTAAGTAAATATTCTGTTTCAAAGCACATCCATTGAAGTGGGTAAATATTCTTTGAATGAAATTTTCCGATCGTGAAAGTGAGCAAAGGAACTGAAACGTTGAGATTTTGTACTTTATAATAAAAACGTTCATACGAAAACCTTACTTAGTTACATTAAAATGATTATTTGTGAAAATCATACACATTATTATTTTAAGTTTGATTTCGAGTTGTAATATGTGGAAATAATTTTTGTATATTATGAGTCGTATTTCAACATTCGGTTAGAATATTATTAGATATAGTTTTAATATTAACACATAGATCAATTTAAATATCTTATAAATAAAACCAATGTGGCTATTACTTAATCGAAACTCAATTTTGTCGGAAAACTGTGCGTTTTCTATTATTTTATTTCAGTACTTTCCCGATGTTTCAATTATATTTCAGCAGCCATTATCACGGGTAGACCAGGTGAATGCGACTGTCTATAAAATGATTCATTTAAATAAATACACGCGAAATTATTAAATATAATTAATATATATTATTTTAATATCATTTTAATAAGTGTATTCGACTAGTATATTATACGTATATGTTAATGAAATAGTTAAATGAAATATTTGGTCCTCAAGCATTAAACAAAAATACTGTATTTTTAGATTTATAATTTATTTTTATATGAACAATGAACATGTTTGTACTTAGCACGAAACTTTATATCTAAAGGTCAATTTTAGAAAGATTCAATACATTCGTATCTGAAGCCCTAACTGTAGTGGAATAGCAAAAGGATATCTAAATTGGTAAGTCAGAAATGTTGGGTCACGTCCGAACACGTTTTACGTTCTCTCAGATGAATTCGATGCCTCACTTAAATTATATTTTTATAATCATATTTAGTGCTAGAAAAGTCAAGTTGAATGGAAACAGACATAAATATTGATGTATTTATTAAAACACAGCTATACAGAATAATAAATTATCTGCAAGTCTAAATATATACATGGATAACTAAAGTCACAAACTTTAATCTATGTTACACCATACATATTGTTCACCTGAAAATTCCACTGGGAAGGCGTGGTCCCTGGGTTAATACCGTTGATATGCACTCCGGCATAAAGACAACATCTGAGAACATAAAAATTTTATTACACACTTTCTTGACAGTAGTAAAATTCATCGATTTCTATGAAAGCACAAACATACCAATGTTTTGATATATGTAGTAACAAGTTTGTCTTGTGTATAAAATAGTCTTTTTCGATCATTGTTTACTTTTAACTTAGCATTTATAATTAATTCTGACCAGTTTCTTTAATTTTTCAATATAAATATAACAAAGTTTTACTTGGTTAATAAAAGAAATGTAGACTTAAAAGCGACGCTGTTTTATGATCTCCCAATATAATTTAAATCACTTACAAACAAATTCATAACTCACAAAATAAATTTCAATTCACTCTAGTCACTTCAATAAAACGAATAGTATGATTTTCATAGATAGAAAAATGAAAGGAAGGAAGAGCATATGGCACTCTGAAGCTATAAGGAAACTCAGTCATGTTTCTACTACTGCAAACCACTTCAGTAAAAATGTGCCAGTATGAAGATAAATTCAACCAAAAGACGTCTTCAATAACTCTAGTCCACTACCTCTAGTTACATAACACATAGTAATACAGCTTACTTAAAGATAAAAAAAGAGACAGATATTTACATATATCACATAGTACCTATTTAATAATTGATATAATAATTGCAAAAAAAAAGGGTCAATCCAATTAACTACATTTTATGATAATACAAATAGTGAACCTGAACCGCGTTAAAGAAATGGGCTATATAAAGACAGTGTTTGAACTTTATTATGCAATAAAAACACAACAGCTTTATACAAAATTTAATTATCTGTATGTTATTAATCTTCATGCTGTGGAATATAACACAGATTTTTTTAATAACTGGCTATGTAACCAAAGTACATTTACCATAAAGTATATCACTTGAGAGCGAATTAGTACTATTATAATTTATATTTTATCTTTTCAATTCATATACAATTCAAAGTTCTTACTTTGATTTGTTATCGGTAATTCAAATGAATTTAACTTACATAATTCTATGTGTTAGTGTATTATAAGAATACTCTTCAATAAAATAAAAAGTAACACTCCCAAGGGGACACATTTTCCATATTCTTAAAAAAAATATGATTGGTTTACGGTTATTTGAAACTTTTTGAGTTTAATTTATATATACATACAATAAAGCATCCTATTAAAACAATGATGGAGCCATATAAATATTGAAATGCTGAATTAATTATCACTAAAACGACATTTTAACTGTAACTTTTAATAATAAAAAAATTAAAACTAAAAAGAAAGTAACAAGAACAAAAAAGATTCATATTTAAATAACGTGGGACGTTTGATCAATTGTTATTTAATTAAAGGATATAAAGGTACCACGTATATCAGATGTAGAATATATTGCATCTACTTGTAGAAGTGCAGTAATTTAACTTATATTTTATATTTATTGCGTAAGATTGAATTATTTTTCTCATATAACCCATTTTCTAGAAGACGTAAAGCCAGATAATGTTCTTGAACTCATAGTGAAATTGTATTATTTTGCAAGCGTATTCTATTTTCCAATCTAAATCTAAAATTTCCTTTAAAAAGTTCATACATTAGTAATACATTGCCAGTACTAAGACTTAAGCTTGTCTTGTTAAAGTTATATAATCACAATTAAAAAGATTTATCTGCGCAAGAAAGAAAAAGCCTTCATTGTAATAAATAAGAAACAAAGACATTATCGTGCTGTATTTACAACAAGAAACAATTAAGGCAATTAAACATGCCAGATCTGAGATAACTTTTGTAATTTAAATAGGAGTAGTCAGGAAAAAATTCTTGATTGAAACCAAACCAAGGCTCTTCGACTTCACCCTTCTCACACATCAGTGTACAGTCTTTGCGGTAATTTGAAGCTAAAGAAATAAAGAAAAAATGTTACTATTCACTGCTTATGCATCTTAAATATTACGTATATAAAGTCGGTTTTATTCTTATTTAGTTTTTAATATTTTTGTGCAAAAACTAATATGGTAATATTAACATTGCTGTGTCATTTTATTGTTTTTACATTTCGTATATAAATCTAACTCAGACTAATAAAATCAACAAGCCACCAACTTATATAAATGAAGTTTATTTTACTCATTAATCTTTTAAAATAAATGCCTGTAGTATATTGCTGTAATTTTAATTTCATTGTAAACATTGCATATATTTCATAATTGAATATTATTTTATTTTTTAAATATTATTCCTGTACTAAAAAAACAATTAACATACCATTTTAACGACACACAAATTTACATTTTGCCTGATTTTAATAATCGCTTATGTCAATGGAATAATTTGAGAGCATCAATTTATATCATTTATATAATTTATTACTATAGGTAAACATTTTTAACAATAATGATGATTGTTTTACAAATGACTCATTAAATCATTATCATCTGGCGAAAGGTCAAACACTACCAAAGTTTTCAACTTAACACTTCTCAAAGTTTACATGTAAACGTTCCATAAGTGTTTTATATATATATATGTATATCCCAGTATTAAGTACAATTAAGGCGACATATTTTTTTTTATTTATAAGGCCTTTAAGCTAAAATGGATGTTATGTTAGTCATTCCACAAGCTCCACTCAGTTAACTAAGTACGATCTTTAAAGAAGTATTTTAGTTAATAATTATTTTATTATATGTATATAGGATATAGGAATATGCAGAGATAGGAGAAACTCGAACGACATATGTACATATAAGCAGTTGTCAGAAGGCATATTTCACGATAAGTTTAAATCAGGCTAGTTAAAAGGTATTAATTTAATTATTTTTAGTTTTGTCTAAATTTAATTAATTAATAGTGAAATTATATGGAATATTATTTTTAAAAAGTCAATTCTATTCTTGTTTTTAAGAATATTTTAACTTCTTTGTTTTCATATTCTTATTATTTTTCTTACTCAAAGGAATAAGGTATATATTCGATCCCAATATAATAGAAATTGTTTATAACGTACATATTATACATATATATATACGCAATAGCAATTTGAAATAAACCACTTGAAATATATATTTCAAGTAAGTCAAGTATTTCAAATTAATTATTAAGTGGTTTAATAGAAATTTCAAGGGTTTTAGAACATATTAAATAGGCATGTAAAAAGGCAGAAAAAAAGCTTTATTAATTGTTTATTTTATGCTATTATTTTTTTTATTTCGATTCCACCTTAATTGACATTCATGACATATTGAGAGTTAAGTCATTAATTGTCCTACTTAACATGTAGGTATGTCACATTATATTGATTTCGTACACCTATATATAGTAAAACACAATAGAGATATCTATATCATACAAATTGACTAGCCCTTAACTAAAAAAGAATAATTTGTTCTATAAATTCATGTAAATAGGGATTATTTTAAGTTAGGATTAGAAACGGTATAACTAATGAGTTGGCTGGTAATTGTGTTGATAGGTGTCAGCTAGAACCATAATGTGGCTTCCTCGTCGGAAAGGATCTTGATAAATCACTTGGGGGAAGATAAACGTGTCAGAGTTATCTGTGGCAGCCTGGGCTGTGTTACTGCCATCGAAATACCATATTGGCAGATCTGTAAAAAGTATTTTTAAGACACTAATCTTATAGGACAACGTGTTATTAGAAAATATATGAAAAGAATCTATTAACAGATAAGAATGTGGGTTGTATAAAAAGAAAATTAATGTGAGATTATAATATTTAATATTAAACATTTTACATAGTGATAACGAAGATTACCATAAGCACACATATAGAAACATATAATAATATTACAGACATTTACTTTTTACTAGACACTTCAATTGCCTTGCATTTATTATGTTTACGGGACGAGGTAAAACCCCCGTAAGAATAAAAACTAATAAGTTCTCTTAGTATAGCCGAAAGGCAGCTGTATTTAAGTTATATTTTTTTTTCGATGATTCATTGTTAAGAACCGAGACGATGTGAGAACAGAGAAGTAATCCAAGTTTAAAAACCCATACATTATTAAGGCTTGTTCGTGTAAAACCTTACAACTGGGCACTGGACTGTCAGTCATAAAACCGTTTTGACACAACTCACCACTCTGCTCTAATGTGGGTAATTGACTTCCATGTCTTCTCTCTCTATCTACCTTTCTCAAATATAAAACTTAAAAATTATTGAAAGAATAGGTATAGGTATTTAATTCTTTGTCAAACGTCAGTCGATAGTAAAACTGCTCATTATATGTTTAATAGTATATGGATGGTTTAATTAGAAAAAATTAAAATACATATGTACATTCATTGTTACAATTTTTTTAACAAGTATGAAAAAACATTAACAAATAACTTAAATAATCATTTGGCTTAGTTAAAGTAATGGAGATAAATGTTTCTCTTAGAATATTTGATAATAATATTATATGGCCGATATTAGAATTATAACCACTAACGTACAAATATTTCATATCCTACGCTTTTATCGTATAAATAGAAATTGGAAACTATAGATAAATAGAATACAATTGACCAATAACCTCGTCTATATTATAATAAAAATAGGGCTAGTATCTGAAAATAGAAATGTTTCATTGAGACAGACAATAATTAAAATATTTTCCTTTCCACAACAAGTATATGATCACATTTATACATTCAAAATTATTTTTTGTCAATTATCAGTATCAGGAATATATAAAAGTATACTGAAATGTGAATTTCCATTAAAAATCATATCGATATCAGAAATATTACGATCCCCATAATGAGTCTACAAGTTTTGACAGATTAATGGGCGACTCCTTTAAAAAATGTATGATAGAAAATCAATGTTTGGTTTTCCATAAATTTTCTCTTAAAATAAACCTTGTATAAAATAATAAAAGAACCGAATATACACAGACATATATGTGAATACAAATAACTATTGAGTCCTAAAATCAATGATCAATAAGAGAATTTTAGTTAAAGTTTTAAGTGCAAAATAACATCAAGCTTCAATATCATACTCTTATATTATTTTATGAAATAAGCTGGTGTTTGGGATTATGGATTAATGCTTAGTATTACTTACCTGAACAGAATGGTTTCTAATTACGTGTTGAACCTCTCAACAGTTTTTTATTCAGTTTACAAGTATATTATAATCTAACCGAAGGCCGACAAACTCACAAGCCCCATCCATATTTATAGGTCCAATGATTGGGTAGCGCTTCAAAATCAAAGATTGCATGTTATTGGACTTTTAATTAAAAGAACTTCTTTGCATGTCGTGAAAAACGAATTTATTTTCGTCTGCTACCTCTTGGAAAAGTTTTAGGAGAAATCTATTTTTAAACATCTGTCCTTTTCCAATTGAAAACATGGAATTGTAAAATAGCCTTTGGGATTTAATAAAATAGCACTTGTAGCTCCAGTACATTTTTTTTACTCATGTATGTAGATTTCTATATAAATTTAAATGTAGAACTGTAAATTAAGTTGAAGGCTAAATTAGCAAATGAAGGTATTTTTAGTACTTGTATGAATATTTCTATTTTTACTTAGACAGTTTTTTAGTGTCGTCAATTTTAATAGATAGTTCAGATAGTTAATATGTTTTGTATTTTAAAATTTTCGTAAGAATTGGAAATGCTTTAGAATGTAGGCAATATTGTTTTTAGACAGTCAGATATATTCACGGTATTACCGAGTGTCGCAACAGTCCCTGAAATAAAAGGTAATATTAAACTAAAACAAGAACCTGAAAGACATTCCTTGACGACAATATGAACAGACTCTGTTTAAGTTCCTCAATAAACCTATAGTTTTAACTTTCTTGACCTATGAGTCTATTTGAAATATTCATACTATTCTATCTGTATTTATTAGTATAAATATTACATTTGATTGTAATAATAAGAAAATAACAAAAAAAATACCAATTGAAATGAGAAAGTAAGTTTTAATGATGCTTCGGTAGTGATAAATCATACCTTAAATTAAGAAAAACGATTTAGGTCCACGTGTAAACTATTGCTAACACTTTATATACTAAATTGTTTCTCTTTAGAGAAAACAGTCATCCGTGTTGATATCGAAATATATAACGTTATTTAAACAGCCTCGAGAAGCGAGCTTCAACACGTAGCTTGGTGCACTTCGAAGTTCCAAAGAGCTTTGATAGCTTTCAATATATTGAAAACTTAATTCTCTTTTGAAAGGATAAAATACATAAACAAGGGCTAGTTAATCTCATTCCTTTTTGCGAAAAAACCTTTTTAAATAAGAATTTCATAATAATATCGCATAGAATTTTAAAAACATTTGAAAGCAAATCACATTAAGATTTTTATTAATTTTATTGAATAAATGTTTTATTTATTTTGAATTAATTCTAGCTACTTCGCATTTTATCTATAGGAACAAAATGGTTCGATTTTGTATACATATAACACTGAGATCTCGCTTTGAATCAATTTCCATTAATGGATAGCACAAATTAAGAAATTTGAGAACAAAAAAGTTTTTGCCTAAAGTTCGTTCTACTTAAACAAAATTCCTAAAAGAAAAGAAGCTAAGTTTTTATTATTCTTTTCCAATAAATAGATAGACTATTTAATGTGAGAGGAAATAGCGAACATTTAATTTACTCTTTATATTACTTTATATTACTTCTTAAAAGACGCTTATGATCAAAAATAACACAAAAAGTACCACCTTTTTATCTTCCTTAAGTAGCTCGAAATAACCTAGACTGGAACCATTGTTTATATAAAACATCAGAATTGAAATACTCACGTAAACAATAGCCCTCGATAAACAATAAATAGATGGACTATTATAAATTGAAAATCTAATATGTTAAAATTAATGTTTCATATGAAAATTAAAAAATAATGAAAATATTGATGAATATAACTATTTAAGTTTTATCGTTACTAAAAACACAAAACTCGACAGAAAAACATAAATATTGCATATTTAAGAGACGATAAATTGAGTCCATAAAATAAATAAATAAAAGGCACGAATAAAATTTTGTATTTTTTTTTATGTATACAACGATAAAACGGTATCAATTGTACAGTTTTAACTTAAAAGTATTCACAGGGCCGCTCAGTCACCCATCCAATGTGAGATAATCAAATAAATACTTAACTTGCACAATCGATCATTTACTTAAGCTGGTTTCTACTGAACGTGCGTGTATTATTTGGGTCAAAATTCGAAATTTTTAACTAAGACTTGAAGTAACCAGTAATACCACAACATTATTATACATCCACTAGCAATTACCTGATTCTATTGAAATAGGGTTATAGCTTTACTATCTACATATTTACTTACCGTCAACTCTAAAGCTTCGGCATTTAAAAATTAATTATCAGTCAGTTAATAAAAAAAAATAGATAATAATAGACTTAATAAATTTTACAAAAATATATCAACAATATAAGAATTATTTATGGAAAATAAAAAATATATAAAAATTTGCCCCTGAAAAACTAACCTTTTTTCTAAGATCGGCAGGAAAGAAATAACAAGTCGTCCGAAGAAAAACAGATTTTAAGACTAAACTTTAATCACACAATAACATTTACATACCAAAATAGATTTCATTCATCAAATATACATGTTTTAAGTAAGATAGATATGATACGATAAGGATCAGCGTTGGCAGCTGGCCGTCGGTCCTCCAAATAACCGTGCTTGTCTTCAGAGACTTGACGAGGAATACGAACTGAACAACAACGGTTTGCCACACCTGAAATACACACATTTATGGAGATTCTTGATGTAAGAGACATCTTAAATAATTCCTTATACGCACTGTTTTGAAGTATTTTACATTTCTGTTATTTCGATAATATGTAAAGCGAAACCATTGTATAAATTTTTAATGGTAGTGTGTGGTGGACGAAGGTAGAATTCAATACAGGCAAAGTTTATATACAAAGGAAGTTCTCACGTTATTTTTATAGAAAAATGTGCTTGAATACTATCAAATTATTGAAGACACACACTACAAAGACTATCATATACATGTACAAGACTTTTATGAGGATTCCCCAATGTGTTTATATCCGCTAAATATAAAACAAAGACTTCTATTCAACTTGAAATAATTGATTGATTATGTTAGATAGTCGATAATTAATTATAATTAGACAATACTCTCGAAACTCGATATGATTTCGACCTAATCATATCAAAAACATCTTTTGATTTACAAGCGAGGTAATTGTAAGGAACTTATTATCATTTTAATTTCATAGCAAGACCAAAATAAATGTAAACAAGTAGTCTTAATGTTGTTAATATCGTGTAGCAAACAATACTTTGATTCCTGATATTGAATAAAAAGTCATGTGCATATAAGCTGCGGTAATGAAGCATACATCTAATTTCGGCTGCCTTCATATGAACTAAATTATTCAGTAATACTAACTGTGCCCGCGACTTCGTTCTCGTGGAATAGTGACTATGAGCAGCGTTTTTTTTAAATATATTTTTAAATTCTTTCACATATTCATAAATTTCAACCAAATCCGTGAAATAGTTGCGGAGATTAATGGTGCATATGTATGTATAAGCATAGAATAGTGTTCGACGTGATTCTTTAATTTGACATAACTTTTTTATTTATGAACCGATTGACATGAAACAAACACTAAAGCATAACTGAAGCATACCACAATATATTCGTGAAAACAGCATCCAACTCGGATCAGCTATTTCTGAGATTAGCGTGAACAGACAAATAGACAAACAGACAAACAGACAACAAAAAGTTAATTATATTTTTGGGTTCGACATCGACATAACAATAACCCCTGCTATTTTTTTATTTTCAATGTACAGACAGCACTTTTCTACAATTTTATTATATGTATAAATATAGATTACATAAATTAGCTTCAAAACGAGACTGAACGAATGAATATGATACTATAATAACGAATGAATACGGAATGGTAGTCAAAGAATGATATAGTATTTTTAAACTTTAGATAAAATTAAAATATCTACAGAGTTGGTTTCAGAACTTTATATTTCACAGCAAATTTATGTTGACAGTTTAATCCATCAGATGTTAAATTTACCCGCAGTGAAATCCCGTATGTTGGGCATTCCGTTTTTTCCAGTAAGACGTCGTGCATTGTCAGCTCCATTGTGAGCGTCATACTCATTGATATGCACTCCGTGACGACGCGACAGCTTATCTATAGCTCTCTCTATAACCCTGCAACATGTAATATTAAATACAATATATGAAATACTAAATATAGTGTATACATAACATTGTAAGGAATAATTGTAATCAAAACTTTTATAGTATGACTTTAAAACTATACAGTTTTACAAACAATCAAACTTATGATTAGGAGAAAATTAAGACAGGGGATGAAAGAAACACATAAGATACCTTCTTCAAAAAATTAAATACGACAAAGAAAAATATTTAATTATAAAAATGAAAGCTGTATGTAAAACTTTAAGTAGTACTACTAAGAATATGTATATTATATGTCAGAAACATATGTATATACATTCACTTCGCTCGTTTTATGTATTACAAATTTCTTTCATAAACGTTTCTTTGAAATTTACATTTTCTTTTATATTTTCTGAGAGTATAGCTTCCACTTTCATATAGATTTAATAATATTTTCAGAATCAAACTAGTGATTATAATTAATCATTTGTAATTTAAAATACAATAATTGAATTAAAACTACCTTTTAAACTTATTTTTCCTATGTTATATTCTTTTGTCCTTTATGTTTCTGATGTTTAAAAAATTGTTAAATAATAATAATAAATAATAAAATTTTACTTACAATATTCCGTCTTCCTCCCTCATATCCTTGGAAGAAAAGTAAGCAAACGTCCCGTTACCAGGCCAATCGGGTACTGGTTGTGGTTCAAATGTAGCAACAGTCCCGTATTCTTCAGCCAACCTACTGAGTATGTAGCGAGCCATCCACAAATCATCGGCTGCTGTAATGCCAGGAGATGGTCCAACCTATTAATAGTAATAAGATAAATATTCTGTTTCAAGAAGATCCATATTAGTAGGTAAATATTTTGTTTGAATGAAATTTTCCGATTGTGAAAGTGACTACAGTGGCTGGAAAAGGAACTGAAACGTCGGGATTATGTAGTTCATAATATAAACGCTTGGTATCATTGGAAAATCTTTCATAGTTTCATTTAAATGAGTACTAGCGAAAACTTACATATTATAATTTTGTTTTATTTCGAATTGTAATAGGTGGATTTTTTATATAATATGATTACTTTTATTTCATTATTTGATTAGAATATTATTGGACATAGTGTTAATATTAACAAATATATCGATTTATATGTACCTATAACAAATATATCAGTAATTTATACCTATATATAACCATATACCTATTATTTAAATGAAACTCGAGTTTTTCGGATAACTATGCGTTTTCTTTTATTTTATTTCAATATTTTCCCGACGCGACGTTTCAATTATATTTTAGCAACCATTATCACGGGTAGACCAGGTGAATGTGATTTTCTATAAGTCATTCAGTGAAATACACGGAAACATATTAAATATAATTAATATATATTATTTTAAAAAAATTAATAAGTCTATTTGAATAGCATATACTTATACATATATGAATCAAAAAGTTAAATTAAATATTCGGTACTGAAGCATTATACTAAAAATAATTTAGTTTTAGATTTATAATAAATTTTTATCTATTTTGTCTTTCAAGTGTTTATGTAGAAAATGTTTAATGACAAACTAAATTGCTCTTAGCCAAATAAGTTCTCTTGGGTAACATTAAAGTCCAGTTACACGTTTTCGCAAAAATATAAATGTTATTTCAACCAGAATTCCTAATTTTTCTTATTTTTTCTCTAAATTTTATTATATCATGAATTGAGGCCGGATTTCATTTAGCACCCTTTTGCAGGAATCCTAGACATGTTTCATTGCTAAATTTATCTCACGACTATGCTTTAAAAAATATTAAAGAATATCTTATTCCCATTATCTATAATGAAAAATTTAATTTCAATAACTGTGTTATTTTTGCATAGTTTATTAGTAACAAACAAATAATTACAAGATCTTGCATTAATGACAGCAGTAGCCTATATAACTTTTTCCTTTACAAAAGTATGTACATATAAGATGTAATTAAATATAAATTCCTAGTAATAAATATAAGGTATATGAACATGTTTGTACTTAGCGCGAACTTTTTATCTAAAGGTCAATTTTGGAAAAATTCAATAAATTCGTATCTGAAGCCCTAACTGTAGTGGAATAGCAAAAGGATATCTAAATTGGTAAGTCAGAAATGTTGGGTCACGTCCGAACACGTTTTACGTTCTCTCAGATGAATTCGATGCCTCACTTAAATTACATTTTTATAATCATATTTACTACTACCTACTAACTACATTTTATGATAATCCAAATAGGGAACCTGAACCGCGTTAAAGAAATGGGCTATAAAGGCAGTGTTTGAACTTTATTATGCAATAAAAACACAACAGCTTTGAACAAAACTTAATTATCTATATGTTATTAATCTTCATGCAGATTTTTTTAATAATTGGGTTTGTAACCAAAGTACATTTACCATAAAGTACATCACTTGAGGACGAATTTTTTGTGTTTAATTTACATATACAATAAAGCATCCGATTAAAACAATGATGTTGCTATGTAAACAGAATGATTTCTATGAAATTGCACAGCTCCAATAAATTTAAATCTATTCCATTAAATTTATCTCTAAAATATAACTTTTAATAATAAATAATTTTAAACTAAAAAGAAATTAACAAGTACAAAAAAGATACATATTAAAATAACGTGGGCCGTTTAGTCAATTTTTATTTAATTAAAGGACATAATATCCTTAATAAATAAAGTTACCACGTATATCAGATATAAAATACATGTATTGTGTCTAGAAGTGCAGTAACTTGATTCATATTCTATATTTACTGTATAAGTTTGAAATAACTTTTTTCAAATAGCCCATTTTCTAGAGGGCTTAAAGCCGGATAATGTTCTTGAACTCACGCTGACATTGTATTATTTGCAAGCGTATTCTTTTTTTTAATCTAAATCTAAAATTTCCTTTAAAAAGTTCGTAAGACAGTACATTGCCTGACATTTAAACTCATCTTGATAAAGTTAATAATCACAATCAAAAAGATTTATCTGCGCAAGAAAGAAAAAGCCTTCATTGTAATAAATAAGAAACAAAGACATTATCTGTTTAATTTACAACAAGAAATAATTAAGGCAATTAAACATGCCAGATGTGAGATAACTTTTGTAATTTAAATAGGATTTTATTTGTACCTGTAAAATGCTTCCATGAGATCTCGAGCAACAATTTTGTTAGCACCTATAGCGCAGTAGTAAGGACCGGGAGGAGCAGGAAAACCTCCTGGAGGCCAACCCAAAGGTCTACCGTCAGGAGTAGTCAGGAAAAACTCTTGATTGAAACCAAACCAAGGCTCTTCAACTTCACCTTTCTCACACATCAGTGTACAGTCTTTGCGGTAATTTGAAGCTAAAGAAATAAAGAAAAAATGATATTATATTCTGTTTCTATATATTAAATATTACATATACAAGTTGATATCACAAAATTATAAATATAATTTTAGTTTGCTCAGTGTGTGCAAAAACTAATATGGTAATATTGACATTGTTGTGTCATTTTATTGTTTTCACATTTCGTATATAAATCTAACTTAGATTTTAAATTAATTAAACACTTATGAATATTGTCATAATATTAAAGTAAAAAAATCAATAAGCAAACAACATATATAAATGAAGTTTATTTTACTCATTAATCTTTTAAAATTAATGCCTGTAGTATATTACTGTAATTTTAATTCCATTGTTAACATTGCATTAATATTTCATAATTGAATATTATTTTATTTTGTAAATATTATTCCTGTACTAAAAAAAAATTAACATGTCATTTTAACGACACACGAATTCGCATTTTACCTGATTTTAACAATCGCTTATGTCAATGGAATAATTTGAGAGCATCAATTTATATCATTTATAGAACTTATTACAATAGGTAAATATATTTTGATATTAATGATGATTGTTTTACATATGACTCATTAAATCATTATCTATATTGTCCTAATCTATCTTAGCTTAGGAGCTAAGGTTAGGCCCTTAAATAAATTATTGAAATTAAGAAGCATGTAATTAAAACATACTTAAAATAAAAATGTTTTATTAAAACGAATGTGACGCATCGATTCATAAGTTTCATCTGGCGACAGGTCAAACACTACAAAAGTTTTCAACTTAATATAGAGATACTTGTTGGAGTTTACATATAAAGGTTATTACATAAGGGTTTCTTTTATGTGTATATATATATATATATATATATATATATATATATATATATATATTAATAAACTTCATACAATTTAGGCGTCATAAGTTTTTTTATTTATGAGACCTTTAAGCTAAAATGGATGTTATGTTAATAATTCCTCAAGCTTCACTGAGTTAAATAAGAACGATCTTTATTGTAGTTAATAAATATTTTATTATATACATTATAGGAATATGCAGGGATAGCAGAAACTCGAACGACATAATATGTATAAACAGTTGTCAGAAGACATCAGGACTCTTTGTCGTTCGTAACGCGCGTTGGTGTGATAGATTAGTCGTTAGTGGATTTTCAAAGTGTGTTTAAACCTCTCGTTTTTGTTAATTCAGATTTTATTTTTTTAAGTTTTGTCTTAATTTAATAAATTAATAGAGAAATTTAATCGAATATTATTTTTAAAAAATCAATTCTAATCTTTTTTCTAAGAATATTTTAACTGCTTTGTTTTCGTATTATTGTTTTTTTTCTTGCTCTAAGAAATAGACTCTATATTCGATTACAATATAATTGATATTGTTTATAACGTCCATATAATATATTGTAAGTGTTTATCAAAAGTTGCTTTTGCGATGGGAATAGAAATTTCAAGGGTTTTGGAACATATTAAATAATATTTGTCCTAAGGCCAATAAGGCTCTATTAATTGGTTATTTAATGCTATTATTTTTTTTTTTTATTTCGATTCCACCTTAACTAACATTCATGACATATCGAGAGTTAAGTCATTAATTGTCCTACTTAACATGTGGGTCACAATATATTGATTTCGCACACCTATAGATAGTAAATCACAATAGAGATATCTACATAATATAAATTGAGTGGCCCTTTAACTAAGAAAGAATAAATTGTCCTATAAATTCATGGAAATAGGGATTATTTTAAGTTAGGATTAGAATCGGTATAACTAACGAGTCGGCTGGTAATTGTGTTGATAGGTGTCAGCTAGAACCATAATGTGGCTTCCTCGTCGGAAAGGATCTTGATAAATCACTTGGGGAAAGATAAACGTGTCAGAATTATCTGTGGCAGCCTGTGCTGTGTTACTGCCATCGAAATACCATATTGGCAGATCTGTAAAAAAATATTTTTAAGACACTAATATTATAGGACAACGTGTTATTAGAAAATATATGAAAAGAATCTATTAACAGATAAGAATGTGGGTTGTATAAAAAGAAAATTCATGTGAGATTATAATATTTAATCTTAAACATTTTACATAGTGATAACGAAAATTACCATAAGTACACATATAGAAATATATAATAATATTACAGACATTTACATTTTACTAGACACGTCAATTGCCTTGCATTTATTATGATTACGGGACGAGATGAAACCCCCGTAAGAATAAAAACTAATAAGTTCTCTTAGTATAGCCGAAAGGCAGCTGTATTTAAGTTATATTTTTTTTTCAATGATACATTGTTAAGAACCGAGACGATGTGAGATGTAATCCAAGCTTAAAATCCCATACATTATTAAAGCTTGTTCGTGTAAAATCTTACAACTGGGCACTGGACTGTCAGTCATAAAACCGTTTTGACACAACTCACCACTCTGCTCTAATGCGGGTAATTGACTTCCATGTCTTCGATGTGCTAGTATCTCCAAAACTTTTACCTTTCTCAAATATAAAACGCTATTTTATTAGATATAACTTAACAATCATTGAAAGAATAGGTGTAGGTATTTAGTTCTTTGTCAAACGTCAGTCGATAATAAAATTGCTCATTATATGTTTAATAGTATATGGATGGTTTAATTAAAAAAAAATACATATGTACATTCATTGTTATAATTTTTTTAACAAGTATGAAAAAACATTAACAAATAACTTAAATAATCATTTGGCTTAGTTAAAGTAATGGAGATAAATGTATCTCTTAGAATATTTGATAATAATATTATATGGCCGATATTAGAATTATAACCACTAACGTACAAAGATTTCATATCCTACGCTTTTATCGTATAAATAGAAATTGGGAAACTATAGATAAATAGAATACAATTGACAAATAACCTCGTCTATATTATAATAAAAATAGGGCTAGTATCTGAAAATAGAAATGTTTTATTGAGACAGACAATAATTAAAATATTTTCCTTTCCACAACAAGTATATGATCACATTTATACATTCAAAATTATTTTTTGTTTATTATCCATCAGAAAGAAACATTATACTGAAATGTCAATTTCCATTAAACATCATATCGATATCAGAAATATTACAATCCCATAATGAGTCTACAAGTATTGACATGAGTAACAAGTATTGTTTTTCCATAAATTTTATCTTACAATAAACCTTGTATAAAATAATAAAAGAACTGAAAATACACAGACATATGTGTATATAATTTACTATTGAGTCCTAAAATCAATGTTCAATAAGAGAATTTTAGTTAAAGTTTTAAGTGCAAAATAACATCAAGCTTCAATATCGTACTGTTATATTATTTTATGAAATAAACTGGTGTTTGGAATTATGGATTAATGCTTAGTATTACTTACCTGAATAGAATGATTTCTACTTACGTGTTGAACCTCTTAACAGTTTTTATTCAGTTTATTCTTTTATTTTGATCTAACCGAAGGCCGACAAACTCACAAGCCCCATCCATATTTATAGGTCCAATGATTGGGTAGCGCTTCAAAATCAAAGATTGCATGTTATTGGACTTTTAATTAAAAACAATTCTTTGCATGTAGTGGAAAACGAATTTATTTTCGTCTGCTACCCCTTGGAAAAGTTTTAGGAGAAATAAATTTTTAAACATCTGTCCTTTTCCGATTGAAAACATGGAATTGGAAAATGGCCTTTGGAATTTAATAAAATAGCACTTGTAGCTCCAGTACATTTTTTTTTACTCATGTATGTAGATTTCTATATAAATTTAAATGTAGAACTATAAATTAAGTTGAAGGCTAAATTAGAAAATGAAGGTATTTTTAGTACTTGTATGAATATTTCTATTTTTACTTAGATAGTTTTTTGGTGTCGTAAATTTTAATAGATAGTTAATATGTTTTGTATTTTAACATATTCGTAAGCATTGGAAATGCTTTAGAATGTAGGCAATATTGTTTTTAGACAGTCAGATATATTCACCGTATTACCGAGTGTCGCGACAGTCCCTTAAATAAAAGGTAATATCAAACTAAAACAAGAACCTGAAAGACATTCCTTAACGTCAATATGAACAGACTCTTTTAAAATTCCTCAATAAACTTTAAGTTTTAACTTTCTTGACCTATGAGTCTATTTGAAATATTCATGCTATCCTCTCTGTATTTATTAGTACTATATAAGTATAAATATTATATATTATTGTAATAATAAGAAAATAACAAAAAAATACCAATTGAAATGAGAAAGTAAATTTTAATGATGCTTCGGTAGTGATAAATCATACCTAAAATTAAGAAAAACAATTTAGGTACACGTGTAAACTATTGCTAACACTTTATATATTAAATTGTTTCTCTTTAGAGAAAACATCATCTGTATTAGTATAGTAATTTATAGCAAATTTGTTATTTAAACAGCCTCGAGAAGTGAGCTTCAACACGTAGCTTGGTGCACCTCGAAGTTCCAAAGAGCTTTGATAGCTTTCAATACATTGAAAACTAAATTCTCTTTTGAAAGGATAAAATACAAAAACAAAAAACTTGTTAACTTCATGCCTTTTAACAATTAAAACATATGTATATTAAATAATAATCCCATAATAATATCGTGTAGAAGTTAAAAAGCATCTGAAATTGACATTTCCCATAAATGAGTTATCTCACTTAGAGTTTTACTTACAAATTTTATTGAATTAATGTTTTAAATATTTTTTTTAATTCATTTTTATAACTTTTCCTAATTACATTTATTGCTTTTTATCTATAGGAATATAAGTTTAAGTTTTATGTAAGTATAACCGTGCGATCTCCCTTTCTGTCGATTTCTAGGAATAGATAGCACAAATTAACAAATTTAAGAATAAAAATGTTTTTGCCTTAATTTTGTAATACCTATACAAATTTCCCTTGAAGAATCTAAGTTTTTGTTATTCTTTTCCGATAAATAGGTAGACTGTTTTATGTTAGACGAAATATAAAACATTCGATTTACTCTTTGGTTTCTTCATCTGTGCTCTTTATATTACTTTTTAAAAGAAGCTTATGATCCAAAATTTCCCAAAAAATACCATCTTTTTTATTTTTCTTGAGTAACTCGAAGTAACCTAGAATGGAACCATTGTTTATATAAAACATCAGAATTGAAATACTCACGTAAACAATAACCGTCAAACAGAAACACTTAGTTTTTACTATATAACATAGGTTAAATAAATAAATAGTCCATAAATTGAAAATGTAATATGATATAATTAATGTTTCATTTAAAAATTAAAAAATAATAAAAGTATTGGTGAATACAACTATTTGTGTTTTATCGTAATTAAAAAGACAAAACTGCACAAAAAACATGAAATTGCATATTTGAGAGACGATAAATTGAATCCATAAAATAAATAAATCAAAGGCATGAATAAAATTTTGTTATTTTTTTATGTATACAATGATAAAACGGTATCAATAGTAGAGTTCTAACAGTATTGACAGAGCCGCTCAGTCACCCGGCCAATGTGAGATGATCAAATGAATACTTAACTTGCATAATCGATCGTTACCTTAAGATGGTTTCTACTGAACGTGCGTGTATTATTTGGGTCAAAATTCCAAATTTTTCATTAAGTCTTGAAGTAATCGAAAATATTCATACATTTCTATACATCCACTAGCGATTATTACCTGATATCTGCTTCTATTGAAATTGAGCTATAACTTTACTATCTATTTACTTACCGTCAACTGTAAAGCTTTGGCATTTTAAGTTTATTATTAGTAAGATAATAGAAAAAAACTAACCAGAGAAATAATAAACTTAAGAAATTAAAAAAATATATCAACAATAAAAGACCTATTTATGGAAAATAAAAAATATAAAGAAAGATGTCCAAGCCAAACTAACCTTTTCCTCAGATCGGCAGGAAAGAAATAATAGGGCGTCCGGAGAAAAACATATTTCCAGACTAAACTTTAATCACACAATAACATTTACATACCAAAATAGATTTCATTCATCAAATATACATGTTTTAAGTAAGATAGATATGATACGATAAGGATCAGCGTTGGCAGCTGGCCGTCGGTCCTCCAAATAACCGTGCTTGTCTTCAGAAACTTGACGAGGAATACGAACTGAACAACAACGGTTTGCCACACCTGAAATAAACACATTTATGGAGATTCTTGATGTAAGAGACTTCTTAAATAATTCCTTATACGCACTGTTTCTAGGTACTTTACATTTCTGTTATAACAATAATAATACGTAAAATGAAACCATTGTATTAATTTTTATGGAAGTGGAAAAACGTGGAATTCAACAAAGGCAAAGTTTATATCGAAATGAAGTTCTCAAAGGTATTTTTTATAGTGTTTAGATACCATCAAATATGTATTTACATATTACCACAAAGACTTATATTCTACTATTTAACTTGAAATAACCTATTAATTATATTATTATGACAGTCGATAATAATACAATACTTTCGATACTCGACTCTTCAGTAATATTACTTTGACCTAATCAGATTAAATACATCTTTTGATTTACACGCCAGATCATTTTAAGAAACTTATTTTTCGTTGTAATTTAAAATTAAAATTTCCATGACGTTCCTATTTATTTAATAGCAGATATTTACTAAAATAAATGTTGGGAATAATGTTAATGTTGTTAATATCGTGTAGTAAACAATTCTTTGATTCCTGATATTGAATCAAATGTCATGTGCATATAAGCTGCGGTAATGAGGCATACATCTAAATTCCGCTGCCTTCATATGAACTAAATTATTCAGTAATATTACATAAATTTGCTTCAAAATTAAACTGAACGAATGAATATGATGATTTAATAACGAATGAATACGGAATCGTAGTCAAAGAATGATATACACTTTGTAAGCTTTAGATAAAATTAAAATATCTACAGAGTTGGCTTCATAACTTCATATTTCAAAGCAAAATTTATGTTGACAGTTTAATCCATCAGATGTTAAATTTACCCGCAGTGAAATCCCGTATGTTGGGCATTCCGTTTTTTCCAGTAAGACGTCGTGCATTGTCAGCTCCATTGTGAGCGTCATACTCATTGATATGCACTCCGTGACGACGCGACAGCTTATCTATAGCTCTCTCTATAACCCTGCAACATGTAATATTAAATACAATGTATGAAATATTAAATATAATGTATTCATAACATTGTAAGGAATAATTGTAATCAAAGCTCTTATAGTATGACAATAAAAATATACAATTTTGAAAACAATCAAACTTATGATTAGTAGAAAAGAAAGAAAGGGGATAAAAGAAATACATTAGATACCTTCTTCCATAAAATTAAATACGACGAAGAAAAATATTTAGTTATAAAAATGAAAGCTGTGTTTAAAACTTAAAGTAGTACTACTAAGAATATGTATATTATATGTCAGAAACATATGTATATACATTCACTTCGCTCGTTTTATGCTTACATATTTCATAAGCGTTTCTTTGAAATTTACCGTAACTTTTATTTCTGTTTCTTTTTTATTTTCTGCAATAGCTTCCATTTTCATATAGATTTAATAATATTTTCAGAACCAAACTAGTGATTATAATTATTTGTAATTTAAAATATAACAATTTAAATAAAATTTTACTTACAATATTCCGTCTTCCTCCCTCATATCCTTAGAAGAAAAGTAAGCAAACGTCCCGTTACCAGGCCAATCGGGTACTGGCTGTGGTTCAAATGTAGCAACAGTCCCGTATTCTTCAGCTAACCTACTGAGTATGTAGCGAGCCATCCACAAATCATCGGCTGCTGTAATGCCAGGAGATGGTCCAACCTATCAATAGTAATTAGGTAAATATTCTGTTTCAAAGAACATCCATTGTGGGTAAACATTTGTTTGAATGAAATTTTCCGATCGTGAAAGTGAGCAAAGGAACTGAAACGTCGAGATTTTGTAGGTCAATTTAAATATCTTATAAATAAAACCAATGTGGCTATTACTTAATCGAAACTCAAGTTTGTCGGATAACTGTGCGTTTTCTATTATTTTATTTCAATATTTTCCCGATGTTTCAATTATATTTCAGCAGCCATTATCACGGGTAGACCAGGTGAATGTGACTGTCTATAAAATGATTCATTTAAATAAATACACGTGAAATTATTAAATATAATTAATATATATTATTTTAATAGCATTTTAATAAGTGTATTCGACTAGTATATTATACGTATATGTTAATCAAATAGTTAAATTAATTACAGTAGTTGCCTATATAACTTTTTCCTTTACAAAAGCTAATATAAGATTTAAATATAAATTCCTATTAATAAATAAAAAGTATATGAACATGTTTGTTCTTAGCACGAAACTTTTTATCTAAAGGTCAATTTTAGAAAGATTCAATAAATTCGGATCTGAAGCCCTAACTGTAGTGGAATAGCAAAAGGATATCTAAATTGGTAAGTCAGAAATGTTGGGTCACGTTCGAATACGTTTTACGTTCTCTCAGATGAATTCGATGCCTCGCTTAAATTACATTTTTATAATCATATTTAGTGCTAGAAAACTCAAGTTGAATTGAAACAGAAATAAATATTGATGGATTTATTAAAACAAACCTATACAGAATAATAAATTATCTGCAAGTCTAAATATATATATGGATAACTAAAGTCACAAATTTTAATCTATGTTAAACCATACATATTGTTCACCTGAAAATTCCACTGGGAAGGCGTGGTCCCTGGGTTAATACCGTTGATATGCACTCCGGCATAAAGACAACATCTGAGAACATAAATTTTTTATTACACACTTTCTTGACAATAGTAAAATCCATCGATTTCTATGAAAGCACAAACATAGCAATGTTTTGATATAGTAACAAGTTTGCTTTGTGTATGGAATAGTTTTTTTTCAATCATTGTTTCCTAGTGTATTTAGCATATATCATTAATTATGACCAGTTTCTGTTATTGTTCAATAGAAATATAAAAAAGTTTTACTTGCTTGAAAAAAAGAAATGTCGACTTAAAGGCATTTTTTAACTTTTTATAGTGCCTAAGTAAAACTATTTAAATAACTAACTTAAATAAATAAATAACTTACAAACCAACACATACAATACTCACAAAATAAATTTCAATTCACTCTAGTCACTTTAATAAAACGAATATGATGGTTTCCATAGATAGAAAAGAGCATATGGCACTCTGAAGCTATAAGGAAACTCAGTCATGTGTCTACTACTGCAAATCACTTCAGTAAAATTGTGTCAGTATGAACGTAAATTCAACCAAAACACGTCTTCAATAACTCTAGTCCACTACCTCCAGTTACATAACACATAGTAATAAAACTTACTTAAAGATAAAAAGGGAGACAGATATTGATGTCACATAATACCAATTTAATAATTGATATAATAATTTACAAAAAATGGGTTCATCAATTAACTACATTTTATGATAATGCAAATAGGGAACCTGAACCGCGTTAAAGAAATGGGCTAAAGCCAGTGTTTGAAGTTTATTATGCAATAAAAACACAACAGCTTTATACAAAATTTAATTATCTATATGTTATTAATCTTCATGCTGTGGAATATAACACAGATTTTTTTAATAACTGGCTATGTAACCAAAGTACATTTACCATAAAGTACATCACTTGAGAGCGAATTAGTACTATTATAATTTATATTTTATCTTTTCAATTCATATACAATTCAAATTTGTTACTTTAATTTGTTATCGGTAATTCAAATGAATTTAACTTACATAATTTAATGTGTAAGAATACTCAATATTCAATAAAATAAAAAGTTTCACTCCTAAGGAGACACTTTTTCCACATTTTAAAAAAAATATAATTGGTTTACGGTTATTTGAAACTTTTTGAGTTTGAGTTTTCAATAAAGCATCCGATTAAAACAATGGTGAAGCCATGAAATGCTGAATTAATTATCACTAAAACGACATTTTAACTGTAACTTTTAATAATAAAAAAATTAAAACTAAAAAGAAAGTAACAAGTACAAAAAAGATTCATATTTAAATAACGTGGGCCGTTTGATCAATTGCTATTTAATTAAAGGATATAAAGGTACCACGTATATCAGATGTAAAATACATATATTGTATCTACTTGTAGAAGTGCAGTAATTTAACTAATATTTTATATTTATTGCGTAAGATTGAATTATTTTTTTCAAATAGCCCATTTTCTAGAAGACGTAAAGCCAGATAATATTCTTGAACTCATAGTGACATTGTATTATTTTGCAAGCGTATTCTATTTTCCAATCTAAATCTAAAATTTCCTTTAAAAATTCGTAAGACAGTACATTGCCTGAGATTTAAGTTTATTTTATTAATCTCATTTAAAAAGATTTATCTGCGCAAGAAAGAAAAAAGCCTTCATTGTAATAAATAAGAAGCAAAGATATTATCGTGCTTAATTTACAACAAGAAACGATTAAGGCAATTAAATATGCCAGATGTGAGATAACTTTTGTAATTTAAATAGGACTTTATTTGTACCTGTAAAATGCTTCCATGAGATCTCGAGCAACAATTTTGTTAGCACCTATAGCGCAGTAGTAAGGACCGGGAGGAGCAGGAAAACCTCCTGGAGGCCAACCCAAAGGTCTACCGTCAGGAGTAGTCAGGAAAAACTCTTGATTGAAACCAAACCAAGGCTCTTCAACTTCACCCTTCTCGCACATCAGTGTACAGTCTTTGCGGTAATTTGAAGCTAAGGAAATAAGCGAAATTTGTTAATTTTTACTGCTTCTACATATTAAATATTACACATACAAGTTGATATCACAAAATTATTAATATAATTTTAGTTCGATCAGTTTGTGCAAAAACTAATATGGTAATATTAACATTGTTGTGTCATTTTATTGTTTTCACATTTCGTATATAAATCTAACTGAAATTTTAAATTAATTAAACACTTATAAATTTTGTCATAATATTATAGTATGAAAGTCAACAAACAGACAACACATACAAATGAAGTTTATTTTACTCATTAATCTTTTAAAATTAATGCCTGTAGTAAATTGCTGTAATTTTAATTCCATTGTAAACATTGCATATATTTCATAATTGAATATTATTTTATTTTGTAAATATTATTCCTGTACTAAAAAACAATTAACATATCATTTTAACGACATACGAATTTGCATTTTACCTGATTTTAACAATCCCTTATGTCAATTGAATAATTTGAGAGCATCAATTTATATCATTTATATAACTTATTACAATAGGTAAACATATTTTAATATTAATGATGATTGTTTTACATCATTAAATCATTATCTATATTGTCCTAATCTATCTTAGCTCCTAACCTTAAATAAATTATTGAAATTAATAGAGAAATTGTAAATATGTATGCTTTGTTTTCGTATCATTGTTTTTTTTTTCTTGCTCTAAGAAATAGACTCTATATTCGATTACAATATAATTGATATTGTTTATAACGTACATATATATATATATATATATTTCAAACTGGTATTGCGATTGGAATAGAACATATTAAATATGTCCAAAGCCAAAAAATACTTTATTAATTGGTTATTTTATGCCGTTATATTTTTTTTTTTGCTTATTTCGATTCCCCCTTAATTGACATTTATGACATATCGAGAGTTAAATCATTAATTGTCTTACTTAACATGTGGGTCACATTATATTGATTTCGCAAACCTATAGATAGTAAATCACAATAGAGATATCTACATAATATAAATTGACTAGCCCTTAGCTAAAAAAGAATAATTTGTTCTATAAATTCATGTAAATAGGGATTAATTTAAGTTAGGACTAGAAACGGTATAACTAACGAGTTGGCTGGTAATTGTGTTGATAGGTGTCAGCTAGGACCATAATGTGGCTTCCTCGTCGGAAAGGATCTTGATAAATCACTTGGGGGAAGATAAACGTGTCAGAATTGTCTGTGGCAGCCTGGGCCGTGTTACTGCCGTCGAAATACCATATTGGCAGATCTGTAAAAAATATTTTTAGACACTAATATTCTAGAAGAACGTATTATTAGAAAATACATTAAAATAATCTAATAACAGCTTAGAATGTGGGTTGTATTGATTACGACAGCGTTGGTTATAATGAAGTTATAATTAAAAGACACCTTTATTGATTTTTGGCACGAAGTCGAATGTTCTATCCTTTGAACGCAAATTTATGCCAGTGCCGTCAACCCACACGTACGTCGCTAAAACAGCTTCACAAGGCACTTCTAGGTCCTCATACTTTCTCATAGCAGCTTTATTCAGAGGTAGGGGAACTGTATTCATTGTGGTAACTAGAGCAATTGAGTTAATTAATTGTCTTATTAATAATCTTGATGTGAATACTGTAAAATTTAATATTATATGTTCGAACAATTCTTTTTTATTTGGTTTTAATAATGTTCTTTTAAAATCAGTAGCAGCTGGAAAGGTTCTCAATTTTCATGCAGACACAAGTGAAAGTACATACTTTAATAGAAATACCATAGCTAGTCAGTACAAATGTTCATACATGTAAGTCATCTCAAAGCAAAACACATTGAAATGAAACTAATATTTTACGGATATACTACGCAAGATGTCGTCTCGTCTGCCCGTGACCACGGTTGCTGTAAAGTAACCGAAACGTCGGTAGTATGTAGTTTTTATCAAAAATAAAACCGCGTAGTATATCTTGTAAAATATTAGTTCCATTTCAATGAATAAGACTCGCGAAAATCTCAGATCTTATCAAAGGAAAATAATATGAAACATGAAAGTTTTTAAAGGAAATACTGTGTAATATAAACCACGTAACCCGATTTGACTCAGTGTTATAAGGTTGATTTTATATATTTATAATTGTATAATTTATTTTAGTTAAAAAATATTTTATGGAATAAGTGAATTTCGCTTTATTTCTATCTAATTACTAAGCGTAAAACAAATTGAAACCCAACAGTCTAGATTGCGTGGTTTGTTATTTAAATCGCAAATGCTCCTAATGTCTTATCATTTTATCGTTAACATTTTTCACGATTACAACACATCTAAAACATTATGAGCACCTGCTTCTATGAATAATTGTCGTATATACGAACCTTTTGTAATATGTAATTAAAAGAAGTTATAACTTAGTAACTTTTTGAAAAGGTTATCTTTGATACTCTGAATTTTGAATACCAAACTGTTTCAACTTAAATTAAAAGCATAAAACTAATAAATAACTAGTATTTTTGGTTCCTAGGCAAACATTGCATATCAAGTGACTATGGATATTTGAAAAATAAACGTCATTTTTTTATGTCAAATATTTTATGTTTATAAGTTTTTATGCAATTACCGAGGCAGTATTATTAATGAGGTAGCAAAAACATGATAATTGTAAAAATGAAGTTAAATTATTGATTGTGTAAATTTTGGTATAGCAAAAAAAAAGTTTACTTTAGGGCAATACATGAGCGCTTTAAAGATTTTGTATATTAAATCAGATTGATTACATTAAAACAAATCTCATGAAAAGAAAGATTATTATTAGTATAATTATTTCGTTTATGTGTTTACGGACAAAAGAATCGTTAACGCAACTAATGTTTGTTTTATAAACTAAACACGAAAAGTATTTTCTACCTTTATCTTTAAGTCTTATCTAATCGTTTTCACATTGATTTATAAAGTAAAAACCAATGAAAGTATCATGCCTTGATCACGAAACCCATTTGGACAATACATTATGAAATTTATTCTTCTTCTTCTTTAGTTAGTGGCGTTTCCGTATAGATTTCGCCATTGTCATGTGAAATTTATTATATTCTTTGCAAAAGAAACATTATAGATAATTTAAAATTTTAATTAAATAATAACCAATGCAGAATAATCTGTATCAAAAATCAACATAGTTAGACCATTTATTAAAAAATAATAATATGGTCTGAATTTTACTAAAAATATGACACAATTTTGTCTGTTTGACAGTCTTCAATATGCTTAAGATTATTTTGGAAGTAATTTTTTATTTAGATATTTTATAATATACTAAAAAATTGTGGTTTACAAAATGAAAATATTTTTACAAGTTTTATTTTTTACCATAATAATTTACCCCACCGACATTTATGGTAAATTTGTTAAAAATGTTCAAGCAACATTTAATATTAGCGAACACAATAAAAAACAGATATCCAGACCTTTTAATCAAACAAGCGAAAAAATTACTCCAAAAATGTCTGGCAAATGGCAAGTGGGACGAGTAAGTCGGAAACAATATGAAATTATTAATATGTTATGGAAGAAAACAAAAATTTTTGTTGAAACAGAAGAAAAAATCACCTCGACGACATCACAGAAGTTTTTAAAAAGGACAAAGAAAAGACTTAAAAACAAGATTGGGAAACACGTAACTTTAGCAGAACAGAATCCATTACAAGAAGCATTTCAACTCGCACACCCTAAATCAGTAATGTACTCCTCGACTCCAAGCTTCATTGAATTTTATTACCTTGATGAATTTGATGATAGAATAAGTCGGGGAGATACGAGCAACAAAAATAAACAGATTGTCGTAACCAAATCTAGACTATCGGATAAAATTGAGAAGGCTGGGTTATCACGGTCCCCTTTATTTCAATTTCGAGTAAACGATGCAACTTGTAAAGCTACCATACATGATTTGTATCCAACGAATTCTGAGATAACAAATACCAAACTCAAGGTTACTAAGAATAAAAATCATATCAATCCTAAAAGACTCAAAACTGTAGCAGTAACTACAAAGAAAAAGAGAAATCATGGCAAATATAGATCTACTCCCACTTCGGTTGCGATAAATAATGACATGAATTCCCAGTCAGAATACTTTAAAAGTAAAAAATATAAAATAAACACATCAAAACCCAAAACCTACACTGTAAACAAGAGAACCATAGCTAATGATCATATAAGATTCTTCGAAATCTATGACAGCGATGTAAATACACCATACATGATAGCAGAAGATGGCGGAGATAGAATGATTGAAAGAAACGAAATACCTAATGAAGACAAAATATATCTTCATCACATTGACCATGGAGGCAAACATGATGACCTAAATATCACTAGATATGTTAAGAAGCACATAAATCATAAAACTGCTGACGCGAGTATGGATACCGAGAGTTTGAATGAACCAACATTTATTATTAATGATTTCATACGTCCAACCACAACTCTTTCCAGTAAAAACCATTCCTCTCTATGGTCTGAATTTCCCTTCGTTGCCGTATATGTTTATGAACCAAATCAGGTATGCTAACAACTTTCAATATTTTTAACTAAGAACTGACTATACATACAAAACTGAAAATTTGAATCAAATAAAACTTTATTTTCATCTCAACTATAAAAACAGTATCAATTTTTATATTGTTTACTTTTATGGACTTAAATTATTTCAATTTTCATTCCATAAATATTATTAAAATATTGGTTTTATAAAATATTTAGAAACACCGGCTTTATTTCTAATCTAAGCATTTTAAAAAACGCTTAGATGAAAATAACAATTAAATTTATTTTTATTAACTACAAATTAACTCGATTGTTCCGCGGGAAATCATAATAGTTTTCTTTTTGTTTATGTTTAATCAGAAATTGGTTTATCCAATTAAAATAGACAAATATTTCATTCTGATTGATTTTATATGCATTTATAATAAAAATATTATCGGTTAACATGGATGATGGATATAATACGCAGGTCCGTTGTGATTCCGCATCAATTAGTCCCCATTGGCTTGTAGCATCTGCGACGTGTTTAAATCGCCACCATAGGGATATAAAGCTTGAAGGTCGATCGGCTTTCGTCGCCTACTGTAGCGGTAACTGGAGACATCCGGGACGAATTGCCTACGTGAAACAAAGCCTCCTCCACCCACGCTTCCACCCAAAGGACAATTCAAGACGCCAGCTTTACAATATCGGTAACTTTATTAAATGGTATTAATTATATAAGTATTATCGTACTGAAAGCGATTCTATGTTCATATTATACATTTAGAGTGTTAACAATAAAACGCAAATTTAATTATAAACTTAATTTATCTTATAATATTTTATTACGTTTATTACAAAATAATGAAATTAGTTATATTTGGTAATCAAAGAAAACGGTCCACATCATTCTTTTCCTTAATCTTTCTTAAAAAAAGGAACAAAAATTTAAGTTATATATTTAAACAGTATCTAAATTAATCATTTGCAAACATTTAAAAGATTCATCCTGTGCTTCATTACCACTGTCTTGATCAGATTGCGCCTTACTTACTTTTTAAAACTTTTAATCAATAGCAGGTGTAATTGTGATAACATAATCAATTCCAGGTGCAATTCAAGTAGTAAATTCTATGGCAGACACCTGCAGTGGATGGGCTCCTGTATCTCTAATGTCACATCAGTTTGTGGCTTCAAGCGACGGCAGCGTTGCTACAGCTCTTGGCTGGGGTCTTGATAAGTCAGTTAATTATTTACTTCCTAAACTAGAACAGACGTCCTAGTTCCTCAGGTTAAATATTATACCTTATCAGACGATAAGGTATAATATTTAAGCTGAGGAATATCTATTTATAATTTCTCAGTACGTTTTAAGGTTTCGATAATAACGAGTATGTAACATTGAACAAGTATTATACATGCTGTATATGATTTAATTGATTTTGATGATGAATGAATCATAATTACAATTTAATTTCCCTTCATTCCTTACCTTAAGTGGAAATACGTAATACAATGACACTTGATTAAAATCATTTACTATATTATATATAGGTATTATATAAAAATATTTGTGTCTATAACTATGTATTAAATAGAACTAAATTTATAAAAATTTCTACCTATATGACATACACAAACATAAGTTTTTTTCAAAATCTTTTTCTCTATATTTTCTACAATTATTACTGAAAAACATTTGTCGAGAATAATAAAAATATCTTGAACATTTAATAATATATGGATAAGCAAGAATACGATAAAATATTAAAAGTTTTTCACGCTTCATAAACGTGACCAAATGTTCCTTGTATTACGATAATTCAGCTGGCTCTGAAATATTAAATAATATATTAAACTTAGGTGTTGAGATACATACAGAAACTATTACCTTCAATATATACTACATTTGTTAAAAACATAAGTGAATATTGTATTATGTCTTCTTCTACCTCAGCAATTTCCCAGCTATAGCCAGGGTCTGCCTTACATGTTGTGAATATATACAAGTTTTGGCTATTTGTTTTTACGACCGGCCGCCTGCCTGACATGAACCCTCTTTGGCAATCAGTATTAATCAGTGATGTTTAAATACTCTCAGAAAGTACATATGACTCGGAAAAATCATATTGGTACTTGCCAGGGCCAGGATCGAACCCGCGCCCTCGTGCATGAGAGGCAGGCCTTTTAACCACTAGGCCACCACTGACTGTGAATATTGTATTATGTAACACACATAAATTACGTGAATGTTATAATTGATAAATCTGGGTGTGTGGGTAATCTCTTTTTCGTGATAACACAGAAGTGAAAGGTCAGTTTAGAAAAAAGTATATTAATAAAGTACATAGTAAATTTTCTGGGAAAACAAATAACCAATACTTAGCTTGAAGTATATGGACATAAGAAATTTCATTCTCGGTTTATTTTATCAATAACTAAACAAGAAAACCTTCACATATATTATATACCTCATATATATGACCTTCTGTCGCCAGTTCTACGTAGTATTATGGTACATTAGCTACTTTTTCCCAGGTTTGACGAGGGATATTCTGAAAGCCCTCTACCTAAACATCTTACGTTGAATGAAGGAATAGTTTACTCGTTTCCTTGTCCCGGGCGTAATGATTACAGGTAAACTCATTTAAGCCTAATCCCTTATACATTTTGTATAAGTAAAATTATAATGTAATACTAAAACTTAATTTACAGCATACCGAAAGGATTAGATGAAGGAAATGTCAGGAATTTATATTGTTTATCGTTATATCACTACGCTGAGAAAAACGTGTCTACGCACGGAAGTCTACTTTTGATCGGTGAAAAACTAATAGCATTATACTATCAGGTTAGTTATTATAACAATAATTAAACATTAATATTATTTACACTATTCATTTTAATAACAATTATTATTTCTATAATAATTTTTGGTAACTTTTTTGAAGGTTAATATACAGACCGCTTAATTTCTTTTATTTAATTTAGAAATTGATTTTATTTGCTTTCAACTTAGGGTTCCACAGACATAGCCATAATCACGAATGGCAATTCGGAAAATTACGATCCAGGCTATTCGGAAGCCTTTTTATTAAGCCCGCTCACATTTTCCTTTCACTATAATCATCCGTTCGAACTAGCTGAATCCACACAAACTTGAAATCAGTAATTTAAGCTTCGTTTAAAATAATACCGGCCTTGTTTAATTGTTTAGGAAAGTCCTATTGAACAAAGAATTTAAAAGCTAAAAACAAAAATAATTTCGTAGAATTAAAAATGAAAAGTTATTTATTTTTAATATAAGAAACCTGAGCTACTCGCACTGATCGGGATTTAGTTTTACGAATGAATCTTTACTTCAATAATAAATGAATATCTTCAACGATAATTTATTGATATACTCGTATAATATTATCTGAAGTGAATATTCCTTAATATATATACATCACGGAGGATCAAGCTAGACTAACTGAACAACGTTTTAGGACTGACTAGTTTGTGATATATTGCAGTTTGAAATACAATATACACTGAAAGTTTATCAAAGCCACTATTAATTTCATGTTCATAACTTCATGCAAAGATTTACTATTTAGTGTGCGACATTATCTAAATGGAATAGGAAATATCCCTAAACTGAAACAAGTAGTAACTCAAGCATTCTTTAAAAAAATACTTATTACGTAATAAAATATAAGAAAATAAAATGAGAATCACAAGTGAATGAAAGAATATAAAATAATGCAGATTTAGAATATAACATGAGATACCTAACAAAGTAACAGTATGATGAAGCATTTTATTGTTAATGCGACAAATACGAGAGTAAAATTCTTTAAAAACTTGTTTGTTTTACGTAATTTGTGTCGAATTTCAGGATGATCGTCAAAATTGGAATAACCAATATTCTCAATACACTGGTATCTGGCGACTCATTCCGTGGATACTTGATGTTGCAAAGGAACCAGAAGAACATGATCACTTTAATTTAGATATGTAATTAATTATATTTATATACTGTGAAACTGTTTATCAAATTTTTTAGGCTGTGGCTTGTGAGACATTGTATTGTGTTTTATTTATGTTACCGACAACATGCATTAAATCGTCTGAGTCTGTCTTCTGCCTTGTATTTCTATGTCTGAATACTATAAAATATTAATTTACTGTTCCACATTTTTACCAACGAGTGCTTTACTTTTTATACAAAACATTTTATCCAAAATTTATATTTTTTAAATTTCACTAACAGCCTAAAAAAATACCTGGGAGAAGTCTTCTTTTTTAATATTTTTAAGATGGATTTATCAAATTACTTTCTTATTTATTTGAATTGCTTACTATCTAAAGTGTAATTGTCGATCTCAAGTAACATATTAAACAGGCTATATTAAACAGACTATATTAAACTATAAAAATATGAAGTAATAAAATTATTATCGACACGAGCACTACCAATGAAGCTATAGTGCTCAAAAGTATTATTGGAAAAGCTACTAGAAGCAATATTTCGAGAGAAAGAAACAATTTCAGAAATGTGAACAAGTTTAAGGACTTTTAATAAAAAAAAATGTTTTAAAAATCAAAATAATTCTCATATAGATTACAAGTGGTGGTAAAATAAGATGTTTGAGGTTTATTATATCATATAATAGATTCATTTAGTAATAACTCTTGGAACTTCGATCTCATTAAACTCACATTATACTCGTAATCAAAAAAGCACTTATTATTTTAAGTTATAATGGAAATCTTATCAGCTTGTTAAAATGTATAGAGGTTTCTGAATTAATTATTGATAATTAATTATCAGCTGGTAATCAAGATTGATATTATTAGATTCAATTATCATAATATCTACTACTGATATTGCTACACGATAATAACAGCTTGGTTAAATAATAACATATAACATGTTCTTTAAATGTATATAAGTATATAGAATTAAGAGTTCTTTTCAGAAGTGCAAAAAATAAGGCCTTGAAAACATATCACTCTTCAGTAATATGTAATATAATTTAAAAAAAAAACATTTTATTCTAGAGAGACTTTATTTAAAGTATAAATAATTTTATTATAAAACTATAATAGATGTTTATACATTTTTAATTGACGTATTTACACAAGTAGCGCATAAGCCAAACACTCTTGCAAAGTCTTTGAAAGACCGTATGCCGTCATTAAAACTGCATTTTTATTTGAATGTATTTTAGAATTCCCTAGTTGTATTAAATAAATATGTTACATCACTTTTAATAGTAAATAATATCATAAAACAAGATTTTATTACAATAAGCCGAAGTCTGAAGAAACTTTGGTTTACTTAGTGTTAAAATAACAAGCTGTCAAAAGTTGTATAGAATTTTCCATAGACAAGTCATGTTGAGAGTATAATAGCCTCAAGCGTTTAAGCTTAATTGAGGGGAAAGTGAAACTTGTAATGTGACCTTATCACATCAAGGGGAAACAATACACAGACAAAATCCTTTAATCTTCCCTAAAATCCGTTACATATATAATATGACGGTATTTGTGTAGAAAATTATATTTGACGAGTCAATATTCATATAATCTAGTCAAATTAGATGTGTTTAACCCTATAACTCACTAAAAGCAAAGGCAGTGAACTAAATTACATCCCAAATATTAATCAGTCGATAATACTTTAATACTGTTAGTGTAAAAGCAAATATTATTAGAATGAAAATAATTTAAAGAAGCTGTATTGAATAACATCTATACTAATATTATAAAGCTGAAGAGTTTGTTTGTTTGTTTGTTTGTTTGTTTGTTTGTTTGTTTGAAAGCGCTAATCTCCGAAACTACTGGTTTGAATTGAATAATTCTTTTTGCGTTGGATAGTCCAGTTATCGAGGAAGGCTTTAGGCTATATAACATCACGCTACGACCAATAGGAGCAAAGATATAGTGGTAAATGTGTAAAAAACGGGAGAAATTATTTCATCTTTGAAGCCTTCCGTTGCGTGAGCCGTGGAAACGGTTCAAGATACACAAAAAATATGTATTAAAGAATAATAGCTCTTTTAATGATCTAAAAAACAGTCCACGACAGTATATGTCTATCTTTTAAGATTAACTCACAAAAACCGTTTTTATGGTACCTAATTTGGTCGATATAATTTGTGTTGGATCAACATAATAATATTAATCTTTATTCAAATAAACAAATAAATATGTTGATGGTTAAGAGTACTTCATTGTGAATAAAAAAAAACATAGGTTTTATCCTGAAAATTCTACGGGAACTCGACCATTCCGAAAACCCCACAAGAACGGGAACTATGTGGGAAGAACCAAAAATCTGCCGTAAGTCACTATTCCACGCGGACGGAGTCGCGGCAAAAGCTAGTATTATATAATTTTGTTTGCGTAAAAATGCTAATTTTGTCAAGGACGCATAATAGAATAATAAAGAAAATTTTACCGCTAATACTATATGTGTCTTGTAAAAAAATATATTAATGATTTATAACGATAAATAATATTATCAATCACCAAAGTACTTGTCATTCATGACGTCGTACATCCATGTAACGTACCCCGATGTCTTCGTATATATACCATATTTTCCACGCTTACCACATCCATCACCGAAACTTGTAATTCCCTGTAACAATAAACACGAAAACTAAAGCATTAACCCAATAAAGTTACATCATATTTGAAATATTTGAGTAATAAACCTATTTGAGCTTAATTTTATTAGTTCAAACTCATTACAGTAAAACCTCTCACTGATTCTAATTCATTACGCATTCAGTCACTTGTAATATTTCTTATGCTCTTATTCGTATTCGTTTTATGTAACGCAAATTGACTATTAAAAGAAATATATCTCCATACATAATACGTCATTAGTTAAGATAATCGGGTAACCAGTGAACACGGATGGAAATGATGTGTACTGTAAATACATACGTTGAAGTTATCTATATGAAAACTTAATAAATCATTTGTCATTTTCAATCATTTAGCGGTAAGAAAAGCATTTTAAAATTATGAGTAATCTCATAAGCAAAGTTACATCCATTTCATGCATTACATTCATCAAATGTCTAAAGTAATAAATTATTTTTTTTAATCTTTGTTTTTAATATTTATTTTTGTGCTATATATGACAAACAGATTGTGAAGATTTACGAAATAATTAATACAAGCAACTTTTTCTATCAATCACTGGATTTAACTGCCATAAAATTGACTATTAAATCCTAATAATCGAAAATCTATAGTTTACAAATTATCTAACAATAAAATGTGATTTCCATTTTCATATTGGAGGCCGAAACACAATATAAATTGTATTCAAGTAAATTATAATAGACGCATACAAAAAGGGACTACGATATTAATTTAAATCATGGAATCATTAATTATTTATTTATGTTGTTAATGAAGTAAAGACATCATTAATTTCAAAAAAACTCTAAGTCTCTTAAGTCATTTTAGAGAAGAACTATTTTATGCTTTAGATCAATTATTACGCTCTAAAAAGTATATACCTTTTAAGAGTGCTTTAACTTTCATATTACCTGCAAAACGTATCGTTTATAACGATCTTTGCACAGAAGAGGGCCCCCTGAGTCCCCAGCACAAGAATCCCTGTGGCCCCTTCCAGCACACACCATGTTGTCAGTTATCGCATATTGCCAGTACGAACGACGACAAACACCTTGCTGTATAGTTGACACCTATTAAATGATAAATACATACATTTATTTATAATTTTTACTTTGGAAGACATAAATCAGAAAGATACGAGCCCAAAACTTCCGTCTTTTTTAAAAACTGAAACTGAATAAATACAACACGACATTAATCATAGCTATGACCTACATACTCGTGCCATAGTTATACAGCAATGATTTTAATAATTCAATATTGTGTGTTTATTATTTTACACACATTATTATTTTTTAATATAATACTCACTGTAGTATTGTAAAACATATTTGATATTATTTTACTTAAAATTTCATCCAATTAAATCCAATACTAGAAAGTTTTTTAACAAAACAAGCAAAATTTTCCATAACAAGTTTATTAATATAATACAATTTTTTACCTACTATGCCTATGTAGACTATAGAAATCTTTACAACCTTTAAGAATTTCAGTTTGAGTGCTTGTGATATATGAAACGTATAATTAGTCTGTAATTCGAACTTGTTATTAGGTAGAAAACAAAAAGCTCTATATTTTCATAATCACATAACAATGTTGTCATATAACAACGTTAGTTGCTATCGACGGTTGTGGTTACGAGTCAATTGCCCCCATTCCATACATTTTCATCATAACATTATTAGCTCCGAACAAATACTAGACCTATGTATACAAATGTTTTAAATAATAATACATTTAATTTATAATGGGGTCCAATTAAGGACATAAGATCTGACCAGTTATCAGACTGCTAACAAAGGAATTATTCTTCTCGTGACATATGTCAAATTAAGAAATTTTCTGATAATAATATGCTAAAATTAATATCAAAAATATTAAGATAAAAATATCACTGTCTGTTTGTCTTCTTTTTTTAATATAAATTTAATATATATAAATTTACAAGAGCGTGCATTATATTTTTGTTTTAATGAGAATAATATTTTAATAGCTTAGAATATTGTTACGGAAAGAATCATAAAGGAATTAATAAAATCCGTTGATATTCTTTCATAATGGGTTGACTAAATTATATTTATTGCTTGTTTAAAGCCAAAAATATCATAGTAATATTTTATGTATTAAATTTGCAGCGATGAGATTACCACGGAGAAGCGGCTTAAGTTACTCAACTTATTATAATATAAAACGCTTAATTACTTGCTATGCGATATTAAATAACGCTATTAAGGGTCGTAGAGTAACATTACGTTGTCGTAAAGTATTGAAATTACTTTAGATTTATAGTATTAAGTAAAATATTGGCAATTCAAAATATATTTCATACCCAGCATTTTCCTTCTCCTGTTGTTTGATATTCGTTAATACTAAAAGTATAGTGATTAATTGTATTCATATAAAAAAATACATTAAATAATTTCTTGAAGTATCATATCAGGTTTAGCAAGCAGATCTGTGTGAAGCGGTTACTATTATTTTTAAAATAATTTTTAGCAACAAAATATTTTAATCATAAACTAATTTTCTATAAATATTTATTTTTATAGAAATCATTAAAAACATTATAGAATTTAAAACAAAAGTTGTTATTACACAAAATTAAATTATTAATTTTATATATTACATTTAAATATTAGTATACATATATGTACAATTGTACATGCAGTCCATGTTTATTGTTTATCAAAACGTGTATATCAAACAAATTTCCTAAATAAATATTATGGCGTCGATGAAATTGGGACAGCGTACATAATAAATAATAAATTTCTTTACTTACGAGTGTAAATACAAAATGAATTAATAAGTAGTAGTTTAAATGAATTAATAAGTAGCAATCCCTTTCAGTGCGATGATTATCTAAGCTTGTTTGAATTAGAATTGTAAAGTTTTTTGGTAGCATTTGGATGAAAGAACATAATTATATACGCATACAACGGAGGGCTGAATCGTTGAATAATAGAGTCTACCCTAACTCGAATATAAATAAAATATTAATAAAACAAACCTCTCAAATCTATTTCAAGTGTGAACGGTAAAAAAAATCCTTATTCGCACACATTTGTGTTCAAAACACGATGTCAAAATCCCAATACTTCGTCGAACACCTCCAATTATAGAGAATTCCAATTAATTTAATTTGCTTGTGTGCGTCATTCGTTTTCACGGGCAAATGTATCAATTATCCAGTACGTTGAACGGTTCCCTAGCGCTCATACCGAGTAAAATAGTAACAGGTCTTTATAAAGCCAACAGGAACAGATATTTGAAATATTCTCCTAACCGTGACAGTTATACATGCAGTATTGCTTTTTACTCTACCTCACAAAAACTACTGATAGATTTTAATAAAATGACATAGTATGAAATGTTGATAGTCTATAATTAATTATTAATATATTCACAATTAACAACAGTGATATTTTGATCATAAGAACAGAGAAATTCACGGTCAAAAAATGAATGGCAATTTCAGAGTCATTAATAAAATGTCAATGAAAACTTCCGTCTATATTTAGCTTGTTAGTAATCAAGTGCAAAAAGAGCCATAGATCCTGGACTATTATGTTTTTACCTCAACCGTAACATAAATTTTGTGACAAAAATCTAATAACTGCTTAATATATATAACAGCATTTTTATATTTGACTATTCACTGACTAATTAACAAATTCCACGTAAACAAAGTTAAGAGAGTCAACCGATATTCGCTAAGTCAACAATTTTATTATGATGCCAAAAAGTAATTAAATATAAGAATCAATTAAGCTTTTAATATTTCTACATAATTAAAGGGGTAGGCTTCAATTTATGAATTTCCTTTGACGTCTTGATGGTCGTTCAAATTTATCTCTTTTTAGACATGATATTTAATTGAAAAAGGGAAAATCCGGTTCAAAAATGTAAGTCTACTTTTAACCAATTTTAGGCATTACTGGGTCCACTTTCGCTTTTAAAAACATGCAATGTATTTAAGAATTACAAAAAAACTTGATTACTACTACCTACTGATTGTGAAGGGTACAAGATATATTTGAATGTCTTTTAGTTATTTTATTTTCAAACAACACAATTACAATTAGCTGGCGCTTCTTTCGTTACAATTTAGCATTTTTAAGTTATATATGTATATCAACTTATATTTAATATTACCTGGGCTTCGTGAAGTATTCTAGTGCCGTGTTCATCCGTGGCCCTTCTCTTCCCCCATCCAAGTATAATGCAGGAGGTATGTGGAGGTAGGGGTTGTTGGGGTCGCGGCAGACATGCTACACCATGACCGAGATCCGGTCGCGCTGGTTCTGGCAGTCTGCGATGGTTTCGTATGATTAATAGTTTTGGGTATTTTGAGTGTTTTTCTTTGGCTTTTCGTAACAGATACATGTCAGAGTGAATAATTTTTCTTCTTTACCCAACATACTAAAATACATGTTCGTTATAAATTATTACTTTTGGATTTAATGAATTGTGGAATGTATATTTCGTTATCGTGATTTAGAAATATGAATAATATTTTCAGTTAAGTTTTTCATCTGACCTAATTCCATTTCGTCTTGTTGCAAGTAATTTTTATGCGCCAAGAGAGAAATATGAAAAAGCCAAGAGAAAATCTTTTTATTTTGATTGGTAATATTTAAAAGAAATAATATAGATTTAAAAATGAAGACGACTTTTTCCCATATATTCAGAACATATATTCAACGATACAAATCTCCAACCTAAAATGACGTAAATTAATCACCACATATATGTTTTAAAATATCAAAAATCTAGAACAATTTATATGTATTCAATAAACTCAACCGTGAGGAAAGCTGATAACGTCTGTAAAAATTTATTTTAAGAAGAAACGAAAAATTTTTACCAAAAATAAACGTTCACATATATAAAAATTTTAAAGCACGGTCCGTATTTTAAATATGAATATTAAATTAACTTTGTTATTCATGAATAAAAATTGCATATTGTTACTCTTCATATAATATAAACCCATTGTTCATTCTTTAAAATAATTTAGTCATATACAGATTAAAAAAAAACAACTGTTATTATTCAATTTTGATAATGTCTTGGGAACCACAGGTAAGTGAGGTAAGTAAAAATATTTTTGCAGCCTTTGGCTCCCTCCGAAGATTACGCAACTTTCTACCCATCCCTACCAAAGTTATGTTAGCACAGTCACTCCTACTACCAATTCTCGATTATGCTGACGCATGTTATCTTGATTTAAGAGAGGAGCAACTTAATAAACTTGAGCGTCTCCAAAATCTTTGCATCCGATTCATATTTGGTCTTCGTAAATATGATCACGTTTCTGAGTTTCGTAAAAAGCTCAAGTGGCTCCCAATCCGGCTTCGCAGGAATACTCACATCCTTCAGCTTCTGTACTATATTCTGTTCAATCCGTCTTCTCCTTCATATCTAAAAGAACGTTTTCAATTTCTTAGTTCTTCACATAGTCATAATCTTCGTTCTGAAGAGAATTTAATGTTAAAAATACCACCTCATACAACTTCTTTTTACACTCACTCTTTTACTGTCCATTCTATTCGTCTTTGGAACTCTCTTCCACTCGAAGCAAGACGTGCACCAACCTTGACTTCTTTTAAAAAACTGATCAAAGAGCACTATCTTGCTTCGTGACATATTATGTAACTATCTATAGTATGTAAATGTATATATTTATAATGTGTATGTATATTATATTATTATGTAAGTATATATTTATGGTATATTTATTTATGTATCGTATATATACATATATATGGATGTATATATATATATATATATATATATATATATATATATATATATATATATATATATATTGTATCTATATTTATAATTTGTACACCCCTACCATCCTATCTCTCTCCTCTACCAAAGGTTGCCTGAAAGAGATCGCTGTTTTAGCGATAAGGCCGCCTGTTGTACATTTTCTTTTCTTTATGTTACTCCTATTATGTGTCTATATTGGTGTACAATAAAGAATATATAAATAAATAAATAAATAATCCTTTTACTACCACGTTAAAGTTAAAACAAGATGAATGTGTACGTTTCAAATTCAAAATACTAAATGGGTACAATTAATCCGAAACCATGCTTTTATTTTAAAAGCAAGAAATTCATTACAATTAGAAGTGACTTTTAAAGTGAATTAAGTTGTTCTGCTCTTTTGAAGTGACTTTTAAAGAGAATTAAGAATAATCTCACCGTAATAAAGCCACGTCATTAACAACAGTATCGGGATCATACAATGGATGTATGACTGCCTGAATAACTCTCATCTCAAGTTCCCCACGGCCCTTAACTAGCAGGTCATGTTCTCCAAGACGCACGTACAGACGGCGACGCACGCAATGAGCCGCTGTCACCACCCATCGGACAGATATTAGTGTCCCTCCGCAGAACGCTTCCTATAACACAATAGAAGTGATTGATGATGACGGGACAACCAGTCTTGTAAATCCATTAAAGAGAATTATATCAAATCCTGCTTATATATTTATAAAGAATGAATTAATCGCTTAAAGTCGCTTACTTAAGTTTAATGAATATTTTCATTCTACATTTACTCGTTTATAGATTCATCGCTTTAACGCTCCAGAGCTCGTTATTATTTGGAAGGTTGAGTAAAATTTTCATTATTAAAATTATAATATGCAAAAAGACGACGAAATTGAGTTGAAATGTTTTTAGTAAAATTAAGGAATGTTTATAAGTATCCTTACAAACCTTATGTCTGTTCAAAACTGCCACCTGCCAAATCCATTTTCCTGGTGGCGCTGGTCTTCCACCTATAATGCGGACCATTTCTCTCATTTTGTTACGAATACGTTCTTTGGCACTACCACGATACCTCCCAATTCTTCCGCAAGGGGGCATTACTGTTGTTAACTTCCTTGAATCTTTAGGTTGAATAGCTAGTACCGGTTTCGATAAGTTCTCCGGTTTTCCACCACTGTACTCTATAAAGTAAAATTATTTTTGTTTCGGTTATTTTAATATTTTATAAGACATTATTTGTTATTTGTTTATACATTGTTTATAATTTTAACTGTAAAACTTTTTTGATTCATTACTTATATGGGAGCTGTTTTTACTAATGAACATTTAACCTTCCAATAATTTTTCATACAAAAAGGTCATTTTTCATGTACCAAATATTTGGACATATTACGCGATACCCTCTAATGTTTGTTTGCCAGAGTATCGCATAACCGAGTCTTTGTTTATGTACAAAATTAACTCTGTTTTATAACTCAATTAAAATTTAATTCTTGTATGCGTTTGAATCTCAAAATTTTGTAATTAAATAAGTAATTTCGCGTGAATTAAATTAAAGTACACAATGGTTGTGTTTGCCAAATAATTATTAATATATCAGACCGAATTAAAGTGTTTTAATTGAAAAACAATGGCTGTGTCGTGTTATGTTATGATAACGATTCTATGGTTCCACTCAAATGGTTCAATAACGACATTCAGAAGTGTCATAAATACTTATAAATTTCATCTGACGTCTCATTTATTATGATAAATAATGAACTGATTACTCTTTAGTTTCAAAAGCAAAAGCGAAAGATAAGTTTAAATTCGTCTTATTAGTCCAAAAGCTATAGTTTAATTTGATAGTGCTTTTATGTGTTAATTTGTAAAAGTTGTTAGCCAAGTACCTATATGCAATTTCACCTGGATCCTTCCTTCGTTGCATTCTGCTTCGTATCCAAAGATGACAATAGCTGCCTTCGAGATAACAATACGCAGACTGTCTTATCACCTTTTGTCCACAAATGGATGATTGCAAACAATATCTGTAATGCAAAATATTTTTTTTTATAAAAGTAAAATAAATCAGTATTTTGGTGGAAGTAAAATCGAAAATGTTTACGGCATCGGTCAAGGGTGAGCTATTGTGTAAGTTTTAATGAATTCGAAAATTGAATAAGTTAAGAGCTTTTCGTTGTGATAGCGTTATTTATGCGAAAAGTTTGATGGTAAAATTATATTAGAAGTATATAATATCAAACAAAGTTAACTGGAGCCTCGATACGTTAGTAGTACCTTCTTCGTACAGTTGTACACTTTCTTGAACAATGAGTCCAAGTAGACCATGACGAAAACCCTCGGAAAATTTTTTGGACATCTTTTGAATCCATCTGCAATAATGTTAAAAGTTATGTATTTTTATTAACATCTATACATATATTGTGACTTACTATGTCATCCGTAAGAAAGTATACCAGAACTCGCACTACACACAAAAAAATTAAAAAAAAGGAAAAGCTATCAATTTTTTTATCAAAGAAGGTAAATTACAAAATTTTACAAATAAAACCTGTGATAATCTTCTATAATTTTCAAACAGTTTTATTTGATGCTTGGTAATATGAAAATATATGCGACAATTGTGTCATAACATTAATTGCTTTTATTATGAAATAAAATTAAATAGATTACGGGACTGTCCTTCCGTTTGACGCCCGAATTATGAAAACCAACAATTATATTTCAGTTTGTATTTATATAAATTCATATACATTTTAATATGACTTTCTACACAAAAAAGGAATGTTTTATGCTTAATTTCATATTCTTTATGATATTTCTATATACACATAAATACTGTGTCCTATACCACATTAGCATTTTTTTACACACTGAGACACGTATACCCTCTTTTTTATACTCTTATTTATCTTTATTACTGGAATAATAAATATCATTAAAATCGCATAACGATAACCCGTGCCGAGTTGATGTCAAATTTTGAACACAAATAAATGGATCGTGTTCTTAGTTACAAAATAATACATTTTTTAATCGAAAAGTGAACTGCTGAGTTCTTCTCTCGATGGAATGTAGCGTTCGTGGTTAATATTATTATTATCACACAGAGGCAAGATAGTTGATACACACTTCGTCTGTCAGCTACCGCAAAAACTGGGACAACTTCTGTATTGTGGCACAACTTTTGAAAGCGTTTTGTTGACTACTCGTATTTCGTTTGCCTTCACAGCGTTCAAAAAGCAAGAATTCTGGCGATTTTACCTCTCAAGTCATTGCAACCAGGGCTTGACAAAGGATGTCGCGACAAATACGCTCACGGTTTATAAAGTTTATTTAACATTTTGAATTGAGAACTAAATACGTATACTTTTAATGAATAAAATTAATAGCTTCGCCATCTTGTTGGCAGTGCTTTCAATTTCTTGGTTGAATTCGTTGAGTGGAGGAGTATATTATAGGGTATTTGTTAGGATTTTGATCAAGTGCTTCAATAGTTTCTTTAATAATAAAGACAAAATCAAAGAATGATAGCACATTAAATTTAATTTGAAAATATAACATAGAACCGCCAGTACTTATCCATAAGGGAGTTTAGAACATGTAACTTGATGTTTTACATCCCCGACCAAAAAATTTTTCTAATTAAAACTACGTAACTGCACAGACATGTTGACACAATAAATACAATGGGTTCACTAATAAAAACAAGCACGATATCAACAGTAATTTCGCACGCCTCATCCTACGCTAGTTCTGAAATGTTTTGATGCAACTCTACACGGGTTGCTTTTGTTAAATTTACGTGAAATTTTATTAATAAGTGTTTTGACGTCATTCACACAAACTTAGAGGGATACATTGAAAAAATAAAACTATAATTTTTCTGGGACACCGTAATATATACGAGTACATATCCTTAGAAGGTAATCTGTTATATAAGGAGGATTATTAATGACAATTGGTCACTTTGTTCTCAATTATTGTCAAATGCGGAAGCCATAATTTGTATTTACATAAATTATTTCCTGGATGAATTAATTAATGAATTTGTGTGAATTGCCAAATTACTGTCCAATATTAATAAGTATATAGCATCAAATAAACGTATAAAAATATTTTCCATAAATATTCATAGCATACTCACTGTTTTGCAATGAAAATTACCATTAACATCTCATTATTAATTGAAAAGCATTAGATACCATTTTGAAAAATGATTTTCCATTTAATAACGACCTTTTGCAAAGGTTTGAATTATAGACAGAGTCTTATCTCTAAATGTAGTCACGTAACGTATTTTGGGGCCATGAGATAAAAGAAAAATGGGGACAAGTCTGATTTACATACGAATCCCGTAGTGGAAAAATAGGAACTTGCAATTCAGTGCAAGGTGCAAGCTATGCAGATATTTTTTTAAGAAATTTATGAATTACAACATTAATACTACTTGCACTTACAAGTCTGTTAAATAGTTCTTAAATATTATATATTAACCTTCCTATATCAAGTAGTATTTGGGTATTTAAAAAAACCAACAGAAAATCTGTGGGGTTTTTCAAATACCTATTTTTTTTTAAAGTTCCAATTAATATTGTACTCTTTTAATACTTCGGAAAATACTAAATACCATAAAGGACTTATTATTGACTTTTCGCAAGGAAACTCCGAAAACAGAATGACTTATAAAAATTGGATGTTTCCTTTTGTCTTACCAAACAATTTTAACAGGGCAATTATTTTTACCACAAAGTTAAAAGCATCCTATAACAAAGATAATTTCACTTTGTAATAGCTCTATCACGACCTCGCTTGCATAAATGATTTATTATTTATTTTATAACAATGTAGGTATTTTTGTAAGATTCTAGATAAATTTAGAGTAAGAATTAAAAATTAAATATAAATATTTTATATGGATCTTTTATTTTTCAAATAAAACTATATTTTTTTAGGCCAATATGTTATTTCAACAGAAGAAACGGATTCTACAACTTTATTTATTTGTAAATGGATTTTGTGCTTTCAGTTAACCGCGTAATTGCATCAAATGTGACAAAAGTACATCTGCGGTTCTTGTTTCAGATAAATTTAAATGATACAATTTATTTCTCTTAAAACGTATTACAATGGTTAATGAAGTGTAAATACAGTGATGGCAAGAAAAAAATTTGATGTAACAAATAAAATGTAGGTCTTACTAAAGAGAAAAAAAAATTAATATGACCAAACAAAGAAAATATAAATATTGCTATTTTATTCTTTCAGTATCATTAGACATTATTTTATACATTTTAAAGCATCGTTAGTCATAGTCACGTCTCCGTTAAAGTACTTTTTGTTGTCATTTTAGTAAAAATACCTCCTCCTTATCAGTCTCTCATCAATCACAAGTCACTATTAATTTATTTTCCCTTTTATCTTCTCGTTTAAATTCCCTTTTTTGTGTTATTTATATTTTTTATCTAATGGGTACTCACATTTCTCATTAATATGCGATGATCGTGTTCATTCCCAAAGCGCTGATGTCTGTGTGTGTGCCGAAATCCGCAACTATAAACAATAATGATACTAGTTCCGCATAATTCAACTGAGCTACTCACATGTTTACAAACAATATTCATGACGGAAATGATCTAATATTATGTCATATTAGATTTGCATTCAATTGTCATCAACGAATATTAACGGTACAATAAATCATAATAATTTGGATGAAAAAAGATTAGAATGAGTAAAATTCTAGATTAAAAATATTTCCTATTTTATTTCCTACATTGTTATTTATGATACATTAAAAGCTGTGATAGTTTAATTATTGCCAAATAATTTAATAATAATTAAGAATATGTTAATTGAATTAAATTAGCAACTAAAAGTTATAAAGATACTTTTAATCGACAATTACTAAAGCATTGCTAACCAAAATTCTTTTGTTTGATAAGTATTTTTGAAATAATGAAAATTAATTATTTTTTTAGAACGAAAAAAAACCATTAGGTACCCTTGAAGATTAGTGATGTCATTAATCGGATTAAAGAAAAATTTAAAGAATGAAAAATTTTAAAACAACGATGATTTTAGGTTACACTATGCGATTTAATATATTATTTTACATTTTACTCAGCGTTTCGGTTACTACACAGCAGCCGTGATCACGGCACAAGACAAAGGAAACGTCGGGTAAAATATAAAATAATAAAACGGGTATTTACTATAATAAATAGCGTAGTGTATCCAAAAAATATAATTGTATTTAAATGAAATATAATTAAATAATACTGATAAACCGACTTATCAATCAAAACAGAAAAGTTATGTTAATAATAAAATAATAATTGGGACTTTTATAACTGAACTCATATTCGCCGTAGTTTTAAATGGACCCATAATCTCAAGCTGGATACTATTTGATTTTAGACTGTGAAAGGAAATGTACCTGGCTACTTCTATTCTCAACGAATCGCCGCACACATGCTTTCGCAAGCAATGTCTCCGTCTAGTTTTTCGCCCGCCTCGGCATTCACTCCAACCAGCCCATTCAGAGTAAGAGGGCTCTTTAATACCTTAAGAATATATAGAACTATAAAAGTAATAACACCGCACAGCCTTTATATGACTTTTGAACATTCCCGAGAAAATTGGAAGCATTTTATCTTTAAAGGTTTAATTTTAACATTAATCATTTAAATACCTGTATTCAATGTGCGCTCTTTATTAAATTGAAATTGTTCCAAATGTGAGTTCTCCGTTATTTGTTCCATTTCAATCTGAAACCATAACAATTCTTTTCAGATCATTGATATAATTGTCCAATATTGAATGACACACGTTTTACAATAAATCGTTTGGATAACTGGGTCAGTGCTTTACAAACAACTTGTTCCTACACAATACTTGCATCTATTGATAGAGCGATGCATATTTCAATTTGGCTGAACACCATCCATTTTCGGTTGAAGTGTACGGTGCAATTTGACAATAGACATATATAAATCAACAAATGATTTATTTATTCAAGAGATAACCAACAATAGGTTATAAAATTTAAATAGGACAAAAGGAAGGTCAAACTTACGCGGTGTCCTCGAGATATTTCCATGCCTACGACGATAGATATAAATATTTGTTGAATCCACTTCATATCCGTAATTTTTTATTAGCCCCTGAGTATCAGACTTCGACATCTGTTGACAGAAAGTACAAGTTATGTCTTCGCCTTTGTATTTAGTTACACACTCAACACTGGCATAAATATAGATTTTTAATTAAAGCTGCTTCACCTGAATTAAATTACAATGAATTCGAAATTCCGAAATGCATTGAAATAAAATTTCATTGAATGAAAGCCAAATTTAATCCAAAAATGCTTCACTTCCTGAGATAAAAAATCTTTAAGAATATATTATGAACTTAGTGTACATTATTTATTTTGTCTCAACTAAACATTGTTTCTCAGACCAATTTTAAAATCAAATGATTGCATATATAAATATATTTCTATATTAACAATAGATTTTTCCGAGAAATAATCTCATAATATATGACAAATAGGTAATTTATTAACAGTAATGCAAGTTGCAGCTGCTAGAAATTGATCGCTAAAAAGTAAAAAAATACCGTTGCCCCGAATGTCTCACACAGACAATGGACCAAGAACAATGTTATTAGTAAGTGTTAGCGACTAACACCGCAACTACCATTTAGAGATACTGTGTTGCCATATTATTTTACAGACAAATTATCTATTGCATATATGGTAATGTAGGTCAGACTATAATAAAATCTTTGGATACCATAAACGTCCTGTTGGAGTCGGCATGTCTCTCATGTAATTTTATCTCCATAAAACTACTATGTTAAATGCATCTGAAATTATAAAAAAATATATAATTACTGATAAAAGCAACTCATATTGTTAAATACATTTTTAACTTGAACCCTCTTTTCTTGACCTGAGTAACGTTGGCAGTTTTAATACAATGTCATGATATTTATTCCTTTATTTAAGCTTAAATTTATTACAAATAAGTGTATTATTTTCCAAGTATATAAATATTTTAGGTGTAATAATAATTTATAGTATTAATTTGTTAATTCATTCCCCAGGCCTCTTTATACTATTAAAAATATTTTAGGCCTATTTTGTGTCCCCATTTTCATGCTCCTATAATGTAAGCTATTTTAACAAGTAAAACCGCACCATATATCGTTAATCAAAGAGACCTTTACCCGAATATATTCATACTTTAAAGATAAGCGAACCAAAATATCCCTTGGGTAAAAAAGATTAAAGTTGACCTATTCACATACAGAAACCTTTTAGAATCTTCAGATCTAACGAGATATACGCTTTAATTAAAAACGTATTAACATATAACTTATTAAAGTTTACTTCCAACATCAGCAATTCATTGTGTAAAATTAATTTCTAACAAATACAAATTAATTTTGCTTCACGTTGCCAAAAGCGATCCCATTATAACGTTAAATCAAAGCATTATTGTGTATATATACTACATTATATATGTACTATCTCATAATTGATAGGTTTTACATTATTTAGAAAAATCTTTAATCCAATCTCTTTCCTCTACTAAACATTTTTACATAATATTTCAAAGCTAATTTATTTGCTAAGCCATGATTTTGTTGTTACGATCGCTGAATGTTCTTATAACCTATGTTTAATATAATGTCATCTATTTTGGCATGTATTATATATATTTCATCATTAAATATATGTACGTACAGTATATTCTTTGTAGTTATTACAGTTACTCACAAAATATTGTTTGAAAACAGTTTATAGCGAAAAATATTGCTTATTAAGGTCCTACTGCTTCTGAATTCCTTAAAATGTAGTCTACCGTTGTTTAATTTTATTCGCGTACTCAAAGTCTAGCAAAACAATTGTGAAATTATAAATATACAAAAATGAAGTATTTCTAAATAATACATATTATGGGACGTACAAAAAAATGAGAAATATTTTAAGCGTAATAAAAATTATGTTATTATTAACATAAATAGTTGGTGTTCAAATTCTAAGATAAAAAAAATATTATTTATTAGTTTTGGGTAACACAAATCACGAAAGTTATTAAACTCCACAACCTTGGTTTCTGATATTCATCATATCATGCATAAATAAGTCGTTAATTAATTTAATTGGTGGTAAATATAAAAAATGACTGGTAAAAATTAATTTATGGTCGTGTGCCTATCATTCTCTTCATTATTCACAGTTAAATTATATTAATAAATCCATCATTTTACTTGATCAACTTGTACGATAACAGGCGAATATTTTAATGAACTTGAACTTTCATTTTGCTTTATATTAATTCTGTGTTAAAACATCACCCTCTAAATATATGTATGACGTCATCCAATACAATTATTAGTTTTTGGTTATTGTAGAAGATTTTTACAGTTGTTTATTTCTTCTTAATATCCAACTAAAAGCTGAACTAGTTTCCAAATTTTAAATCGCAATTATTATTACGTCATATACATATGTAAGCGGCACATTTCATAATAACGTTTAAGTATGAGAAACTTTTAGTGATATATGAAGGAATTCGAGCCCCAAAGTGCAGAATCTTCCCTCGTCGTATGTTGTCATTAATTGTTTTCCCGGCTTTGCACAAATTGTTGTTCCTATATGGGTGACACAGATAACAAAAACCCCCATAATTTAATACATCGTGAGTGTACATATAAAACTTCATGATGCATAAATCCTCTTTACTACATTAGATATGATTTTTTTCTATATCGACTATGCAGTGGAAAAATAACTTTCGAAAATATTTTTGTTATAATATAAATCAGTGTAATGAAATTTGGGAAGTTATTAAAAAAAGACCTATTTTAAGTAAATTATCATTAACTAAACATTTGTTTCCAAGTCTCTTGGGCAATTTTGTACATAACAATACGAATAAAAATGCCTTTTCTGTTATAACGAACCGCCTGCTCTTAATTTCCTAGCCTCGTTCTTTCTTGGTCCAAATAGTTTTTTTGTTTCCAACAATTTGTTTTATCATTGTTAAATAGTTAATTTTCATTTAATTATTCTTTAATGGAATTACGTCAGAGAAAATAGACAAATGAATGAATTAAATTTTCGTATAATTTTGTAGCATTTATATCATGAAGAAGTAATTTTATTCAAGTCACACGATTTAATATACAAAATCTTTAATTTTTTATCTTTATTTTCACGATACATCAAGATTTAATAGTAGATTGATAAAAGTTTATGACTGGTACCTATCAAGATATATCTCCTAATTAGTGTTGTCTGTTTTGGCATTCAGAACATGATAATACCAGCCTCACAAATATCTACCCGAATTTGAAGTTTTGGTTAGATATTCTATTAAATATTTGTGGTTCTAACTCCTTAAAGAATATTTAACGTTTCAGAAGCTTAATTACATCAAATATAGTTCCTTACATTTTTGTGAAACTGCTACAAATTAATTATTGTTTTGCTCTCAAAAGAAAGAAATTTAAAATTTTGAGAAATTCCAGCATAAGGATGACTGTTAAAATATTAATTAGTACATATATACAACATTTGCTTTATCATAGGCACAATAAAAATATAGTTGTTATAGACAAATATGAAAAACAAAAGATTACAAGTTTTACACACATTTTAGTTTCACAAGTATTTTTTATTTGAAGACTTGTAATTAGTTGTAACATGCCAGATGACTTTAAAATTAGGTAATAATTAATTTTAATACATACTAGGTGTATCATTCTGCTACACATTTACTGATTAATATAATAAATATAAACAAAAACTACTTAATTATTTTTTGCCCGAATCAAAAGTTAAATGTAGCCTACGAAAATATTTACATTTGCCTTTTTTTAATAAAAGTTACAATTTTAATTATAGTATGAAAATACTTTTTCTAAATTTTCATTTACAGAATAAAGTTAAATTTATATTATTTCAGATAAGCCTTCTAGATATAGTATGTTTATATAATATATGTCTGTAAGATTGCATTATTGAACAATACATCCGCTTAATATCGCTGAATTTAATATTTGATATAAAATATTTGATCTTATCATAGAAACAAAGACGCTTTGAAATATAAGATCTTCTTCGCTTAATTTTTACATGCAATCACTTTTCATAATACTCTCACCAAAGATAATTCTTTTTAATTTGTTGGAGTAAAATAGGTAGGTACGGTAAATATCAGAAACAAAATCTATAGATACGTATTTCATTAAAAAAATCGAATATGAAAAAGAACATGAATATATGAAAATGAAATCCAAATTTTATTGTAACAGTACAAACAAATTATACCTATTTACTTTTAACAATATTTTTACAACATTTAAAGAATAAATATTTGGGTTACTTTATTTTTATTTAAATTACAAACTTTTTATTTTTATGTTTAATTGCGAATGTACGGAAACTAATATAAAAACACTTTATATTTTTATTTGTATACAGTAAATACAATAACAATCTTTCCTACACATATTTATTTTTGTGATACATGTGGGTAACTAAATATACCTATATACTTAATTGAAAGGTAAATTTAATTACACAGTCGAGTCCATTTATGTTTAGAAGCATTCACATAATATGATGTTGCAAGAGATCATATAAGTTTAAATCATTTTGGATAAGATATTTTAAGTAGAAATATTATATGAAAATGCTAAATAAAAATAGTATGAATATATGTAGTTTTTATAATAGTTTTAATAAAATAAAATCTTCTTACCTATTTTCAGTGAACATTTAATTCATAAATGGCAAATTTTTTCTATGCTAATTGACGGGAAGCAAATAATAAACGCAACTCTCTCACAAGAAGCGCGATCCCGGACTGCGCACGCGCCGACTCTAGCCTCCATTTCAATAATATAACCGCTTGCTATATGTATTATAGATGTATTATTATATTTCACATAACTTTAAACGAAACAAAAATGAGATAATATGGGTTAATAGTACACAGATATTGACCATTTTATCTAATAGTTTAGCAATAATATTTCTAACACCAATCTGCCTTCGAATTGACACATTTTAACACACATAGAAATGTGACTTATATGCAGGCTTTATTGGAAATTCCTGTGTAATTG